GTCGTGAGCGGTTCAGTGAAGTGGCCGCTGTCTGGTTGGAGAGCCAACTTCCACTTGCTGCCATCCTTGATTAAGACCCAGGAGGCCGCTGCGATGAAGGAGCTTTTGGTACAAGCTCCAGATGACTTTGATGAAGATCTTGATGGGGTGGACAAGATGGTGACCTACGAATTTATAATTTCTAGTGCAGGTGCACGCAAGGCTCATGATCCGGTAAGGGAAGCCTTGCGCCAGCGTCTGCGTGACATCACTGAACCAATCATACGGGATCGAATCCAGCCATTTGTCTGGGAGCGCTATCCAAGCGCAGGAGCAGTTTGCCATTCCATGATCCGCCGCTACTTGCTGCACGAGCGGCGCACGCATGACACCCACTGGGACATTCCGTCCTATGTCTCAGTTGTTGTCAGCCTAGATGCTGCAGGTCACGACTTCCAGGGGGGCTTCTTCGTGACTACAGGCAATGGGGAGAAGTCCTTCATTCCGCTTCAGCGTGGTGACACTGTGGTACACCAGTCGGATTTATTGCACGGAGTGCATGTGAAGCAGGGGGAGCGTTGGAGTTGGGCCATGTGGTTCCAGGACTCTCACGACTGTAGCTCACAGTCGTCCGACTGGTGGAAGAGTGAGGCCGAAGGCGGCGATCCTGTTGCGCAGACGCTTCGCGCCATGCGTGCTGCTACGCCGAAGGAATCCTGGACGTGGCTGGAGACGGCGGCAAACCGCGGTTTCCCTCGTGCCCAGTTGTACTTTGGCAAGGCGATTGAAGATGGCTTGGAGGGTGAGAAGAACCAGGAGCTGGCCTCTTACTGGTACGAGAAGTCCCGTTTGGGTGGCGAAGTCGACTCCTGTTATTATCTCGGCTTAGTCCAGCAGCGCCGTGGCAATGCAAGTGGCGCCATGCAATTGTTTCGACAGGGTGCCCTAGCCGGTGAGCCCAACGCCATGGGCCAGCTTGCGATGGGCTATCTGAATGGCACTGGTGGCCTTTCTGAAGATCTTGACCTTGCAACCGACTGGTTTGAACAAGCTGCTGACTTCACCGTCGAAGCTATGTATCAAAGCTACGTCCTCTATTCCCATCCAACTGCAAGGCGCGACAAAGACCTTGCAAAGGCCCAACTGTTCTTAGAGCGGGCCGCACGAATGGGACACGACGCGGCAATGAAGAAGTTCATTGAGCCTTTAGCTCGGGGGGGCCATTGGGAATCTGTGGCACCTTGGCTTCTCCGCATCCAATCCAAAGCCGCGCTCTCGCAGTTTGTAAAATTGCATCAGCGTGGCGTCCGCATCAACGCCTTCACCGTCTTCCGAGCCGAGCAGCTCCTGCGCGAATTGGCTGACCAAGGCTTTGAGGATGCTCGGAACCTGCTGTATCAGCTCAGGAATCAAAAGTCCACAAAAGAATTGTAAAGATGCAGCTATACGCAGCGACCAGATGCCAAGACTTCGTTCATCCCACGTCGCGTGGGCGCATCTCGACTTCGGCACGCTGTCCTGCCTGCTGGACGAGATATTGCATATTCATCGGTACTGATGGTGGGCGACGGGCACTGGCATCCCATCTCTAATCTGGCTGGCACATGCACAAGCCCCAACGGGAAGACAAGTGGCGCATTAGCTGGTTTCGTTTTCGAAAATGCCCTCGCTGGTTGAGGATAGCCTTGCTATTTCCAGGAAGAAGCACGTGAGCTCCTGCAACTGAAAAGGGCCCAGTCACATGAATGCATTTTGGGTCCGTGAATCTGGGCAGCCTGGATTGTGTCTGCTGGTGGCACCTCACTTGCTTGAGCACAAGAGATGTATCGGCCATACGGCAAAGGCAAATATGAGCAACGAAGCACTGTTGATTTAATGCATGCTGAGCCTGCTGGGAGTCACAGGTAGAGTTTGCGAATCAGATCGAGGCGGTGCCAGCCTTCCGCGAGGCCACCTCGCCACCGCCATTGGTGAAGGCCATTGCCTGGCCTCCGACTGGTTTGTTTCCAGCTGCATTCTTGCAGTGCAAAATGAGCCCCTTGCAGGGCCGAGCCATTTATGCCTCCGCAGCCACGCTGCCGCAGGCATCTCCTGCTCAGGCCACACTTCTCACAGTGATGAGGACCGTAGAGTAATCTTTCTGCTGATGTAGTGCATGCGTAAGCTTGCTAAATTGCGCGGAACAACTGACGTGAAGCTGTTGCTGGCAGGTCGTTGCGCAGGTGCCCCATGTAGCGCACCCATCTGCGCACCCTTCGGCGCACCCTTCTGCGCAGCCTTCCACGCAGCCGTCACAGCCCTCCACCCAGTCATGCAGCCCTGCTGTGTTACACATTTCCCTTTGCCTGGAGACTTTGCATCATCCCAGCATCTTGCCCTGGCTCTGGCTTGTCCTCAGCGCTGTCATGCCTTTATTGTGCTGTGCCGCAGGCGACTATCCCACACTCCGGCACCAACGCGTGCGATGGGTGTCATGCGGGCAGTGGCCTCAGGTTGTTTTATTGGCGCATGCTGATCCGTGATGGTAGTGCAAACAGGTCGTTTCCCCACTTGGCCGAGCGATGAGCACCAGCGCCCTTCATGGACAGGTCTGAAGATCCGTTTACGTGCAGTCAGCTTAAGCATTTTGCAGAGCTAGATACATTCAGTGCCGCACTAGGCGAGTTTCAGACGTCGCTCGGTTAACGTATTGGATGTCATGTAGCAGAGATAGTCCTTCTTTGGGTCTTGAGTCTTGACAGTCCGGTGTGGCAGCTGCCCTCATCACCAAGATTTGGTAATTGGGGGACTGCTATGGCAGGTGGCATTCCATGCTCGTCCACAGATGGCTGGGGTTCCGGGCGCAGCTCGGCTTCCATACTTGCAACTCAAGCTTCTCTGGCATGCGTGGGACAGCGCAGTCATGCAGGTTTATAACTTTGCTTGCTTCTTCTATCCATGCCCTTGTGGAAGGTGAACTCGCCCATGCTGTTCGATTGCCGGTTCAACAGGATTCCACAGCTTTCTACATGCAGTTGAGGCAGTGGCCCTCGTACCCTGCGCCGTTGCCTGGAAGTGAGATGGGCTGCTTCTAGATGTGGCGAGCCATGACCAGGCCTCTCAAACACTTGAGTCAATAATTCAATGCCTGGTAGCTTTCTTCGGCTTCTATGTTTGATTTTGGCTGTTAGGCTTAGAGAGGCACGTCAGCCCATCCACACAACTCGCCAATTCAGCTTATTAACTCACTGGGGCTGTGCATTGCTTGGGTGCCTGAATTGTCACCATCCTTACAAAAGCAGACCTGCTGCATGTCCAAGCACCTCGTTTATAGGGATCCTCGATCTCCTGGGAGAGACACATCCAGATTTGCGGTTTGGTGACGGCACCCGGGTCTTCCATCAGTCAGCCCTGGCTTAAGGACTTCATGCGAACTGGAGAGTGACTGGGGCCAATCAAAACATGACCCCGGCCAAGTTCTCCGCGAGTCTTCGCGACACCCATTTGCTACAATGCTTCCCATGGACCACGGAAGAGCTGAGGTCCTCTTTTGGCAGTCAGAGGAAATGATGTAATTCCGAGTGTGCGCACTTGTGATAATGCAGTGTGAGGTACCAACTCTCTGCCTGAATTGTCAGTGCACGGCGCATTTGAACGATAGAGGCTGCAGCTGCTGTGCCCAGCCAAAGTACTGCATGCCTGGGAGATGCATTCAATGCAAGCATCCTCCATGCTGCAGCGAAATCTTCAGGGATCACTCTCGGCACTCAGCACTGTGAGGCTACAGCATTATCTATGCAATCTCTGCCACGGCATGCACAGTGACTCGTGGTTGCCGAGGGTTCCTGCTTCATGGAGAGCTTTGGGGTCAAACGTGGAGAGGTTCAAAGTCACCTAGCCATAGCTTCATTTCCAAACAATGGCTGAATAAGTGGTGAACAAACATCCAGCAATGGTGGGGCCGTGTTGCCCACTCTCTTGCCTCTTGCACCCCAAGCTCCCCATGCTTTCTGAAATTGGTGTCACCCGTGCCCAAGAACTCTGCCAAGCGCCTTCGCAACATAGTCCCAATGCCAACGACCAAAGCAAGTGGTCGAAATTCCTGTTGGAAATGCGATGCAAAAGCTTGTGCAAATGTGGAGCTAAGTGGTGGAGACAAGACATGATAGAGTCACTGAGCCTAATCTCAATATTGAAATTCAATCGACCATTGCGCCAGTATCTTTCTCTGGATCTTTCCGTGGAACGTCTCGGACCAAAACGAAATGGCATTCAGTTGAATGTAGCCGGTTGATTTTGGATCGTTGAATTCGACCTCGGTTCCTTTTGGTGACCCCAGCAGCCCTGTCATTTCCCCTTCACAGTCACTCAGTCTTGAAACGTTAGCGATTCTGTGGGGTTGATCTGGCCACATGTTGCGGCCGCCCGACCCAACATCAAGCCGTGCACCTACAGTCCGCACCCAAGACTTGATGCCTGGCTAGCTTGTGGTTCTTTCGGCTTGGACTTCTAAGGATGCTGCGCAGAAGACGGTCTTCCTGACCGATTGCACCTTGGTAGAGCTGGAATCTATTTGATCCAACACAATCCAACGTAGAAACGCGACATGAGCTCACATGCACTTGGTCTTTGCAGGCAGCCGATGTGGGGCGCAGCTTCGCATAGTGGATGCTGGGAGCCCAGGGCGGCACCTGAGGTTGCTCTGCCTCCGTGGACGTACTGCGCAGGACCTGCCTCCAGAAGCAGTCTGTACCTCAGTATGTAGTTGAGTATGCAAGGACTACTGACTACTTATTCTTTCTCTGCACATGTAAAATGCTCAGGTTTGCAAAGATTTGATTTGGGATGTTTCCCCTTGATAGCGGACAGCTGCCAAGGATATCTCGAAATCTTTCCACAAGGGCGTGAGCGAATCGTTTGTGGTCGCCAACTCAGCTTGACCCTGCGCATGCCTCCTGAGGGTGCTTCTGTATTTTGCGGTTTGTATGATCCACGCACGCTCAATTAGTTGAGAAGTTAGTTTTCAGATTTGGTGTTGTGGCATGGAAGGTTGGGCAGCGGGTTGACTCGAATCCCGTGACCCCAGTACACCAAAATCTGATATTTCCTATGCCGCATATGGATTCTCGCTATTGAATACAGTCACCCTCCCAAGGGTAAGTTCCGACAGTTGTGGTGTGTTGTGTTGTTGGGATGACCCACATCCTAGTTATCTCTCGACCTACTTCCAAATAACGTATCCCTCGCACAAGGGTAAACATAAACCCAAAACCTTAAGCACCCTCATAGTACCATTGTCTGGTGGGGTTCATCAACACTTTGATATCTGTTTCTCACAGGGACTACTGCAACCCTGCACATCTTTACTGGCTTGAGGCAGAGCAATCCTGGACAGCAGACTGCTTTCCCAATGCACGCTCGCACGTTGCACACGCAGCAGCAACAACCCTAAGCCCAAACCCTAACATCCTAAATCTCTAGACCCCAAACCCTGAATTACCCAGGTGGTACCTTCGAGCAGGACTGAGGAGCCGGAAAAACCGAGCCAAAGCTCCTTGCTCAGCAGCAATAGTTTTTGGGAGATTTGCGTCTACATAAACAGAATCCCAGGTTCTCAGCCTGATGCGCCCAATCAGGCTGGAAGGTTCTGCAGCAAAAGTGAAGCAAAAGCTAGGTTTCAACAGATTTCGACACCTTGAGCTGTCTTAACAGTCCGGTGACACAGGGCCCCTGCAGGCGCAGCCATGGGTGGCACCCTTCGAGCAGGTCGCTCGTGTGGAACGGATCATGGCCTGGTGCCTACAGTGCCGCCATGACCGTGGCTGCAATGACGTCTTCTTTGAACGACTTTTGGATAGTGCTCAGTGCACACGTCCGGTGATGAGAGCATACGGACTTCCTCACCATTTTTTGTTTTCTCCGGGGTGGCCAAGGCGCTTGCCGCCGGCCAGTCGGGTCAGGATCATCCGGTCTGCCCTGTCGTCAGAGCCAACCGGTCCCGGAGTTTGCCAAACTGATCGACTGATAGCCCAAGGCTCCAACTGCTTGAAGCTCGTGGTTGCTGAAGTGGAGAGGCTGGCCAGCGAGGTGGGGCCACAAAGTCACCAATGCTTCCGGTAGATTGCTGCACTTCCCAAGAGAAGGTTTAGGCTGCACAAGACATCATTTGTGTCTCCGCAGCTGTGAGAAACAAACACTCACGTTCCTCGGGCCGTTTGGGCCGCGGCGTACGCCGAGGCCACTGGCCGCACAGATTAGTTAGGACTAAAGAGGCAGGCAGTAGTTGGTTCTAGCCCTGGCTCATGTGGGAACAGACCGCCGTCAAGGTTGTTTCTCTGCGGAAGAAAATTGGTAGATGACTGTTGCAAAGCTAAGGTTTCATGGGGACTCATGTCCAGTTGGTGGTTGCGATGCCCTCTGTTGCCATGCTACTGGGGTCCATGGCCGTCTTTGTGCACTGGGCTTAGCGGCTGGCTTGCCTACAAGCAGACTGGAATTGACATAGCTGAAGACACAAGATGAGTCACAAGGTGCCGATTACCCGACAAGATCCAGGCTGGCTTCCAGATGTTCTCAGCAGGCCTGGCTGCACGTTAGCGTTGTGAGGTCCAGTGCCCAGAATGACTGGCTCCCCAGCCAATGAATAAAGTAGAGAGAATTTAGAGAGAATCTCTGCGAGAGAATTAGCGAGAAGCCACGTCATCCGCCCACAGAATTGAGAGAAATAAACGAGAATTTAGTGATCCCACCCTTTGATGGTCTGAACAAATTGAGAGAATTAGCGAGAATATCAGAGAGAGACAGCGAACGTTGGAGAGACATTCGCCAGAAATTAGCCTCTAACTCGTGGATCCTTTTTTAAACTAGTGGAAAATTAGAGAGAAGGTAGGGGATTCTCACTAATGAGAAACTAGTGGATTATGCTGAAAATTCAGGAAATTAGCAAGAAATTATCAAGAAGGTAAGGGAGTCTCTCCAATTAGCAAGAAATTAGCGAGAAACTCGTGGATTCTCTTTAAAATTTGGGAAGCAGTGAGAAGCTAGGGGATTCCCTCTCTTACTAGCGAGAAATTAGTAAGAAATTGGGCGGTGTGGGGCTGGGGTGGGCGCGGGTGCGATTTCTCTCAAATCTTTCTACTGTGCCTGAGCCCGCTTTCTAAATTCTCTCAATCTTTCTCCCAAATGTCTTTCACATCTTTTTGATGCTCCTCAGCCCGCCTTCAAACTTTCTCTCAAGCTCTCTCTAATTTCTCTCAAATCATTTTGCTGTGCCTGAGAATGCTCTCAAACCCCTCTCTCAGAGTTCTCTAATAATTGATTTTGTGGATTTCCAATGATTCTGGCCCAGTGGACATCACAACGTTAGCGAAAAGTGAAAAGTGAAGACCCTCATGACTCTTGGCCTCTTCTTCTGGGTGGGCTCTCGGTCAGGCCTTCTCATCTCCGCGGTTGCCAACGAGCTTTTCCCGCTGTTGACGCCGCCGCCTTCCTCGGGTGCTGGGCCCCTGACTTCAACGGTGGCGCTGGTTGTGGGCTTTACCGTTGGCCTCGTCTTCATGTGCCTTGGAGCGAAGTCCATGCTGAAGTCAGAATCTGCCTCGAAGCTGAGTATTACAAAATTCATACTTTTGCAGGTTTGGCCTTGACCACTTTACAGAAAGTATGGAGGAAGAGGAAGATGAGGACTATCTGTTTTCTGGCAGTTCAACATGGCATACTGAAAGAGCGACTTGAAGCCCCCAGCAGGAGCCTAAACACAAGAGAACATTCAGCGACATCGAGACAGTTGCTCGTCCGAAGTGCACATGTGCAAAGCGACCTGAGTTGAAGAGGGCAGAGGTACAGCTCTACGACTTTTCCAAATTCGGTCCCATTGCTGGTGCAACTCATGCAGTTCAGTTTCCAGAGGTGATATCCGCAGGTGGAGATTTGGGTGGTAGCCCTCAGCTACCGAGGCGCTGCTCGATGTGGATGAAGACGACCGAAAGAAGGCTAAGGCAGCTCGCCGCAAGATCAAGTCCTTTTGAAAGTTGCTTTGGTGTTGTGGTGGCTTGTACAGTTGCTCCATGTGGATCCTAGTACCAGAGTTGGAATAAGCACGCTGACATCCCCCAGGAATGCTTCAAGTCAGAGACTGCTGAGATCCGCGACGAAGTCCAAAGAGACTTAGCTGGGATTGCTTTGTTGATCGGATATGCAGGAAGTAGCCGTGGATGTAGTCTGTTACGAGTCGCCACTTGATGCCAGCGCTGCGCTTGCATCAACATTCCACCAAGCGATAGAGCAGCAACTTTACTGCATGCAAGGGCTGCAGAAAGTCCTCGAGAACGGCTGCCAGAACTCCATAGACGAGATCCTGCATGGCCTTGAGCATCCTTCATGAACAGGTGTTTTTAAGCTGCCTAGTAGGTTTGCGGTTTGTAGAAATGTTCCGGCCGCTTTGGGAAGGGCTGCCCTTGGAAGACCAAGGTACCGTGTTCACAGGGCGACGCGTGTCCTCTATGTTCGCACGGGGATTGATGACGCCAACCTCGTGAGGCCTGAAGCCGCTGGAAGAAAGCCCAAAGTGTTTCTTGGGCTCCAAGTGCCAGGATGCGGGTACATGGACGAGAGCTCTATGAGGCTTCAGAGAAACTACAAGGTACGCCCCTTGCAACTGTGAGATTGGCAATGGACCCGAACAGAAGGGCAGCCTGATACACTACAATATATTATAATAAACTATGATATATAAGAAGATACTACAATATATACTAACATACTATAATCTACAATAATATACTGTATTGTATTACAGTCTGCCATCATACATTAACATATCCTCTAATGTACTATAATCTGTTGTTATATACTATAACCGATTATCATATATCATAACATTATGTGATAATATATTAAAATCTATTATAATATATTAAATATGTCATCATATTCTATAATACTCTATAGGATATTGTAATATGTTATACTAGATACCAGGATTTGACAGCTTCCAGAAGGCCAGGGATGATCTCAAAGGTTTCCAGGCCTGGCCTTGCATGCTGACATTGACCGGATTAGATGTAACATATATATATATATATATGTCCCAATATATACCATTATCCTATTATAGTATAGCAGTCATATAATAACCCATTATAATATAGTTGCTATATTATATTAGGTTACATATTGCGGTTATATAGTACGAAGAACATGGAAGCTACTACATAATAGTAGCTTCCATTTTCTTCTCCATGCTGACTCCCTATATAACTCTCTATATAACCCCAATGTTTACCCAAGAGTTTGCAAGGCTTGCCTCGAACATTTGCATGGCCATGCGGAGCGCGTTCCGAGCTTCCGGCGATGGAAGGCCCTGGCGAAGCGTCTTGGCAACAAGGCAACTTCTGAAACTTCACTCTTCAGAGCCAGCCGTTCGCATGGCTGCAGCAATCAAGAGCTTTATCCGGTATCTGCAGAGATGGCTCACCGAGGCCGAATAAAGAAGCTGAGCTATCGGAGGAGTTGCCAGTTCCTTTGGTGGCAGCAGCCAGCATCTTAGAAAAAGCTTGTGGTGCTCTGTTTCTTGTTCCAAGGTTAAGGATTAAGTTGATTGCACAAGCAAGGCACACATGCTAGTGTCGGTCGCGTCGTACACGTATTCTGTCTGGACATGGTTTTTGGAGAGCTTGTTTTCAAGCAACGACATCCCAAGCTTGCGCGGTGCCTGGCACGGTTAACGCAATGTACATCTCGCTGCAGCTCTTGCAGAATGTGGCACGGGCCCAGTATGCAGCCAATCCATTTTGATTGACCAGTTAAGATAATTGTTCTGATGTCTTTCCCTGGCCTTTACCCTTAGAGTTCTGCTTCAACAGGTGACTGTAGATGCTGCGGTGGACGGGCTTCTCATTGGCAACTTGGTCTGCACACAAAGGCTGTTTTTTTTTGGCTCTTTCCACAAGATGACTCTATCTGTGGCAACTTCTCCAGTAGGATGATGGACATTTACATGCGAGTGCTGGTGGACAACAAAGTCTGTGTTGCTGTGAGAGCTGGGATGTTGTCCAAGGTCTTTCCTACGCAGCGTCTCCAAGCGCCTTTTCTCAACAGTATTGTCATGCAGAGGTTGTTTCAGTTGGTGGCACAAACACAGGAGCCATGACACGTGAGCTATAGTATAAACTCCGCCAAGGGGGTTATATATGAGCTACAGTCTAAACTTTTTGAAAGGGAGTTTTGTAGGCGATTCTATAGGGGACTACTATAGGGGATAGTAAGGGAATACTATTAGGAGTTAAGACTATGGCTCAAGTAGGGGATTATATATGGGGAGGAGTGTTCTAGGCGTTCAGGGCATAGATGTGGCTCATGTTGAGTTCAGGGTTTGGACCAAGTCGAAGCTGTTGAGGCGCTGGTGTGGCCATGGCTGTGGCAACCTGCATTGCCAGGCCCCTAATGGTCTTTGTCAAAGGCCAGCGCAGCGGAGAGCGAGCTTGTTGCAGATGGCATCAGTAACTGAGGAGATGGGCTTCCTAGGGCTTTCCTTCTGTGCCTCTTTGCAGAATGCAACGCGCTCGGCCGCTCAACTGCAGAGATACTTGCTGCAGCCTCCTACCCTTGCAGGCCAGCGTTAAAAGAATTCAAGTTTTGTAGCCAGCCTGGATCATCCTAGATCTACCTCAAGTTGAGCTAGTTGGGCAAATTGCATTGCGTCGTTAGAGCGGTGCAAACAAAGCCGCGCCTACTCAAGTCTACGGGATGAAAACGTGTGGAGTCTTCAGCAACCACTTTCTTTGGATTCTAGCTGGAGCCGGCCTAGGGAGATTCCCCCAAGGAAGGCAGGGTGCACTTTGCGGCACATCCCGAGAGATTGCGAGAAAGGAAACGCTGCAAACTGGCCTTGTAGGATCTCCGAGGCATGGAAGATAGTGGTCTTGGCTGTGCTGCCGCCCTTGGTTCTGGTAATGTCTGGTGAAGCAGGACACAGGCCCGGGCATTCTACTCGTGGTTCCGGCTGTGCTATTAGTGTCTTTGCCTGCCTGAGATCTGTGGGTTTCAAGAGACGAAGAGCAGAAAGGGATTCCGAATGTTCTGCTTCATGTGCGGCGTGAGTGTGGCTCAGTAGCTAGCATCCACTCAGGTTGTTTCATGGGCTCACTTTCTTTAGGACGGAGGTCAAGACATTCAAGAGCCTCAGGCAGCCAAGCTACAGCTACAAGAGGTAAGACCAGGATAAAGTGTTCTTTCCCGCGCTGATGAGTTGTGAGAGTGTGCAGGTTGGGCAGGATGTGCGCCGAAAATCCTGAGGTCTTCATTGCCAGGTCCTCAGTGCCAGCTGAAAGATCCATCAGCCACAGCAGAAGTTTGTGCAGTCATCAGAGGCCATCTAGCCATAAGAATCGCGCTCCAGGCTTTCATCAGCTTCTCCATTGTCGCCCTACTGTTCCTCGTGACGCAGGCCTTGATGCCGTCAGTGCAGCATTCAAGTGCCGGATTCTGCCGAGTCCTCTGAAAGCCCCTGCAGCAAGAGAATGCTCTGTGTGGGCCATAATCTTGCTGTATTACATCCAAGCAACATCAAACCATCCCCAAGAACACGAGTCAGTAACTCTTGCAGGAGCTCCTGATCGAGGCCCAGGAGGTTGCCAGGGGTTCCCATGCCATTAACGCCGGGGCCCAGGGCTGCCATGCTCTACGGCTGCTCTTGCTTTTACGTCGAAACAGTTTGGAAAGCCGGTAGAAAAAATCTACAGCAGGAGCTATTTGGTTATTCGTTCGACGAAAAGAAGTCTCACTTCGGACAGCCAATACGGAGAACTTTGGATACTTCATAAGTCCTCCTGTGTTGTTCTGCATTCAGTAAGATGTTGCCCTAATGTGAGTATATAGACCCCACTGGTACGAGGAATGCAGGCCATCTTCTGAGACAGGGCCATGAACAACCTTCTTAACCGCAAGATTGATGCCCTTCAAAGTTCCATGCATCCCTCGCATCGAGTCCTGAGCCTTCTCACCGACCACCGGAAAGCCTTAGAATCGCAAAGCTTGCTTACAGACATTTCAACCAACCCCGCTTGGATATAGCCTGTATATTGCCTCCATGTAAACCCTATTCTACCTCTATAGTACCCCGGTACAACCCCTATATTGAGAGAGTCTTTGAGGCGGTCTTCTTCTTGGGGCTCCTGGCAGGGATACTCTTGGAGCTGCCTGGCAAGGTTTCTCAAGAGCCTCACAAACACTGGCCAGCCCCTTGCTACGCTGGCTTCCTATAATGATGTTTGCAGTGATTTTAAGGGCTCCTTGTTGATTTCTAGGCAGTCAAGGCAGAAAGGGCAAGCTTCGCAACTAGAAGTTGCACTCGTAGTCCACAACTACATGTCCAAGGTGTGCTTGTTCTGTTCAAGACTTAAGATAAGCAGCTGAATGGCCGGAACGATACTCCAGGGCTTGTCGTTCTGCGGCAAATCCCGCTCTGATGGATTTCTGGGTAGCTGCAAATTCCTGCAAGAGATAGGGACTGTCCAAGAAAAACCATTCGGATGCAGCACTGAGCTGGCAGCTTACTGGAACTTGGACCCAAAATTGGCTGTCAGGGGGGGGGTCTCGGGGGTTACGGGAGAGCCCCTGTGATACCGTCACGGCTGTAATCCGTATTATAGGGATCCTCGAAAAGTTACTCCTAATTTTGGGAACCTCCCGAATGTCATACTGTGACTTTTTTCCGCCTTTCACCTGTCTCTGCAGCATGACCTTGGCTGTCACGCGAAGGCTTAACCCTAATGCTACATCCTCTCAGTCTAGGGGTTATACAGGGGTAACATAGGGGTACTACAGGGGTTATGCAGGGGGTAACATAGGGGCTATATCCCATGTGTTGGTTGAATTCGTAGATCTGTGCTTGGCGCCCTGTAATGAGGACCCTACTGCCGTACTTCGCTGCTTTCCAGGTAAATCATGCCTTCCGCGTTTTTTGAAACTCCCAAGTAAGGAGATTTGTGGGATGAGAAGCTCGGGCTGCTCGCAACTGAGTTCTCTGGAACCAGGAGATTTCACTTTCGTGGCCATGTAGGCCTTGCTGGCGCTGGGAAATGCCAGGCTGTCATCTTTCCTTAGGGGCATGTGTTTGTGGTTGCCAGAACTCCGAAGCTTTGTCAGGAAGTTCTTGTTCCCAGACCAGACAAAAGGCCGGCATTGGCAGAATTTCCTGTTGCCACCAAGGCCTGCAACTCATGGTAAATGCACATGATTAAGTTAAGTTCTCCAGACATTTCAGCATCATCCAGACAAAGTCTGTGAGCGCACCCTGAAAAGTCGACAGAGTTTCACAGCGTCAGTTACAGGAAGAACATGGTTGCAGTTGTCCCAGTACAACGCTTGCAGCTGTGACCTGCCGGAGCTCGTTGGCACACCCAAGCGTCTGTCCATTACTAAAACAGCCTGTCTATACAAGGCCTGCATGGGTGAGCAACCACTAGCTTTCGCAGAAGAAAGTGTGCAAACTCAACAGTGGCTTCCACGAAGAAAGGCATCCTTTCTGAGTGGGAGCTGAAAGGCTTTGAAGCCCCGCGCTCCTCTGATGAGCTTGGCTTTGACAGGAAAACTGCTAAGCTTCTGCACTCAGCTGTGCCCAGCGGCTGTTGGGGGTGAGACGTTGAAATGCTTCGCAGGCCGCCGAAGAGAGCGATACATACAACAAGGCAGGCCGACATTTTGACGGCATGAGGCTCTGCAGGGGGACAAGGAAACCTAAGCCTAAGCCCTTAATTTCAAGATCATAAGCATCAAGCATTTCGGAGGAAAAGGAGTAAGTCTTGAAAATTGCACTCATGACATCACAGGACTTGCAGCTCAGGCCCTGCAGCGCCTGCAAGAGGAGCTAGTGTCGAGCGCCGACGAGGCCTGGGATTGGTTTGGGTCTGACGGTTTCACATTTTCGATGCAGTAGATGATTATACATATATATATATGTATATATATATATGAGCAGAAGCCTTTGCACGTTTGGAATGCATGGCTGGGCAGATGGCATGCATTTGACTCTTCCAGGCAGCGCTTGAAGCAGCTCGGACGGCACTGGCTGGTGGATATGTCTGTGCTTCTGTACGTGGGCGTGGTCTGTTGGCAATCATCTGAGGGTTATTGGCAGGATTCATTGTAGTTTGAGAAGCAGGGCCCAGGTTGTTGCATCCACATCCTAGCTTTCAGCAGCTTGCTCCCAAAAGAGGTGGTTTCTACTAAAGAGCTTTTGCATCTCAGGCGGAGATCTCTGAGATGGAGCGCCAGGAGCAAGAGCTGCTCAGTGAATTAGAGGCGCGAGAATCTCAAGGGCCTGACCCATCCAATCTCTACGGATTCTTGATTTAACCCAGGCCTCTCCCTTGAGGAGGCTCCTCTAAGCTGTATGCAATCTGACATATTGAGGCCACGACGCGTTTCGAAAGATATGTCCGTCAGATCTTGGGAGCAGCCAGGCGTGCGGGAAGGAGGAAGCTGAGCTCGTTGCCGGAGCCTCGGGAAATCTGCAAGTCAAGCAGCTTTTGCAGCAGTAGGGTTCAGCGCTACTGGATCAGCAAGTGGCGATGAAATGGCTGGGATCCTTTGATGTACGTACCAGGCCATGTATGATTTGGCGCTTTATCTTACCACCTCCACTTATCGTACAGTTCTACATCAGAACACACAACATGCTTTGCAGTACGTATAATTGACTGTTTGGTTTTGTTATGCAATATGTCGCCACATCATGAGTTTCACAGATTGCATTAGGCCTACAAACCCCTGTAGCCCCAAAGAATCACAGCATATCCCTATCCGAAGGTGGTGTTCTGCCTTGCGGCGAATCCCGAGCTGTAACCCGAAAAATCTGAACCCCCCAACCTTCAACCCTAAGCCCTGTTCCCTAAAGCTCTATCCCAAGTTCTCGCACGCAAAGCCTCATCCCCAAACTTAAAGCCCAGCTTGTTCTTGCGCCACCTTTGACGTGCTGGTTGCATGAATCCCAAAAATGTAGTAGTTTCCATTTAAATCTCCATCCCTGAGCCGTAAACCCTAGACCTAATCTCAAGACCCCAAGCCCTAGACTCAAAACCCTGAACCCTAAGCCGGAACCCTAAATCCCAAATAGTAGTTTCTATTTTCTTCCCGTTCATCCATATGAGTAGTATCTTTTTTGGGGATATTATGGTACCCAATATAGAGTAAGATTATATCCTCCTTTTGGGTATTGTATTTTATATCAGGAATATTATCTTACTAGGTTCAACCACCAAAAAAAACTAAACCCCTAAACCACTAAGCCCCTAAACCCCTAACCCCTAAACCCTAAACCCTAAACCCTAAACCCCTAAACCCTAAACCCTAAAACCCTAAACCCATATTACCACCAGCCAGCAAGTTGACAGAAGCCTGGATCCAGGGCGAACTCGAGCGCCAGCGGCAGCTGGAGGAACAACTCCAAAAGGAGGCCCTGCGACTTTGAGCCATTAGGGTTTAGTGGTTTAGGGTTTTGGGGTCTAGGGTTTAGGGTTTAGGGTTTAGGGTTTTAGGGTTTAGGGTTTAGGGTTTAGGGGTTTAGGGGTTTGGGGGTTTAGGGGTTTAGGGTTTCGGATTAGGTTTTAGGGTTTATAATCTCCTCCAAGGGGTGTTCAAAGGGGTGTCATACACGGTTTAGGGTTTAGGGTTCAGGGTTTTAACGCCTTAGAGGGGGGTTTTTATAGGAGCGTACTGTTGGGGTTGTTAAGGATACTTGGAGTTTAGAGCTACTGCTCCTTCGCGGTTCACTTACTGGTTCTGAGCAGGGAATGAGGGAACATAGTACATGAGGATAGGCATTATATTCCGCTATTCCCTACAAAGAACTAGTAAGTTGGGGTTCCTTGTGTCTGGTATGTACATAAGGTACTGTCAGTATTAGGCTTACCAAGGGACCATTAAGAGCGGACACAAGGGTTCCTTTGGCCGTTTAGTAGAGCTCCTAGTGATCCCTAAACAGGAATCTACGTCCATTAGTTACATGGGAAATAGTGATTGAAGCTCATTTGGTTGTTTCTGGTGTTCATGCTGATTCTATATTGGGTGTGTACGACACGTCTGTCATTACCTAGGGTTGCTGCGGGAGCATGTAAAAGTTGTACACTTGCACAGGGGTCATGCGCTTTTTCAGGGTTTAAAGGTCCAGTGTCTTGGGGGCGAAAGGTATAGGGTTTGTGCTTTGGGATTTGCGCTTTGAGTTTAGAGACGTGCCATAGGCAACGTAAAGAAAGTCTCGACAGGGGAGTCCACTGATGATAAAGTTCTTCATGAAGATGAGATCAGGCGGGAGCAGGTTTCCTACACATACAAGAATGTTTCAGAATCACTTGTGATAGGAATAACTTCGCTTGGAGCTCTGAAACATCGCAAGCACAATAATAGTGTGAGTAATTCTTGCAATGACGGCCGCAGTGGTATCATGCGTACTTGTACTGCCACTAGCGACAGTATCCTTCGTCAAAAGAATTGTAAAACGCAGAGGCACCTAGATTTGCCTGAGCTTGCCAGCGTGTTGTTCAATGCGCTGTCGTCTACCTGCGTCCAACATCGCGTGGTCCAGGTTTGAAACTTGAATCATCGAGAACTTGCGGTTCTGGTTTCTGGCTCTACGTCACGGACTTGTGTGCCTTTCTGATGCTGTAGCTGGAAAGGAAGACGACTTTTGGGTCAAAGTTGCTGGATATCAGCTGGACATCGAGGAGACAGAAGAGGCCCCCGCACCTCTTGATTTGGCTTTGATTTGTCTAGAGTTCGGGTTGGGGGGGATGACAACATGTTCTAGCAATGTTGCAGAAGTTTTAAACGGCTTCATTTGCGCAAGCTACTTCTGGGTTCCCAAAGCCTCTTAGGCGGTATGTGTACGTAATGTCAGCAGGCGCCGTGTTTTCTAGCCTTCGCGTGTTCCAACAAAGCTATTCTTTCGCGGTTCTGACTTCCACTACACCCGAATCCTCTCCTGGACTGAGCGCGCTTTGGTTCTTCTGGCGGTACCATCTGCTGGGACATGAGCATGATTGTGGCTCTCGGAGCAATCTGCTGAAAAGTGTTTGACTTCTTCGTTTGCGCGAATTACTTTCTGGGTTCCAAAGTCCTCAGAGCCATGCGTACGAAATATTACCAGGCGCAGTATTTTCCCATTATGCTTTTCACTACACCATGAATCCCCTGTTAAAACCAATGCCTCGCGAAAGTCCTCCGAGGCCCAAAGAGCCCAAAATCCCCAGGCAAACTAAATACACGCAACCATGTTGGTCGCAAGTGCTGCTGCAAACAGTTACTTCTTAGATGTGGAAGTCAATGCACCATCGACGATCAGATTCGGTCAGGGCTAGGACAGTAGACTGGTCACCACTCGAGCTAATCCCCCTACATGATATGCTAAAGTAAGCTAGAAGCTGCTGAAACGCTGAGGAGCGCGCCGCTACCGCCGCTGCTATTCGATATGCCGGGGACCAGCCATGCGTTCATACCTTGCCTGGCAAGCGTGGCCGAGTTAGTTTTTTCTTGAAGCTGGTCATCATTTGAGATCATTTGAGTGACTACTCGAGTGTTGCAACTTGGTGGGGTTGTAGGCTTCTGCGAGATTCTAGAATTTGGAAGCTCCGCCAGCTGCAGTCAAATGAATTGAGGCCTCCGCAGAGCTGAGCCGTCTCCGGAAAACAAATGTGCTGAACGTGCTGCTGGCCTGCTTAAAGGCCGGTGGCCTCTATGCTGCAGTCGGATGGAGGAGTTGCTCAGCCTGTATTGGGAGTCCTGTGGTTGAACAGTGTGAGCAGAAGACAGGAGATGTTCCACATTTCCCAGGACCTGCCGTGTTGGGAGGGCACAGTCGTTTACATGCTGCTATCATGTGCACGACCGCCATGCATGCCACCTTGGCCATTTCATGGCTTGTGTGACTCTTGCAGCCGTCCCATCGTCAGTCCACAAATCTTGCACGTCGCCACTGAGAAATCTTCAAAACAGGATGAGGGTTCTTGTTGTGTCAACCAGCGAAGGCGTCCAGCTAACGATCCTGCATAGGGAGGCGTGTAGAAGGTGACTGCAGAATCATGGTGTGCCAGATTTTTTCAGTGTACTCTTGTTCTGCCATTCTGTGCTTTGATGTAGAGCAAGCAAGCAAGCGCAGCCGCCGAATGACCTTGTTTTATTGCATCGTAACGGTAGATAGTAGGAGCTGTCAGCACGTGAGAACTCTGCGCAACAGGGCATGTGCCGAGAACCTCCCGGCAATGGAGTCGAAGATGCTTTCCCACTGGCTCCTTCGATGAAGCCAAGCATAATGGCTTTGATGAAATCTCCATTTTCTGAGGCTCTTGGTCCTGGTGCAGGGCCTGGCAGCTTTGTTGGCGCTGCTGTTGCGCCAGGGTGCGCCGGGTGTTTGCCATTGCCTCACAAGTCTTTGGCCCTGTCAGTGACTTTGTTGGGACGGTGTGAATCTGCGAGTTGAGGTCAAAGCAGTCACGCAAGCTTTGGAATATGCGCATGTGAAGGCGGAAACTGCAAGCTCAGCGATGTTGCGCAAGCTTGTGGAAGTGCTTTCGAAGAGGTCCTGAGATAGTGCCAGCCCCGCCGGACACAGAGTATTGCTATCGAGACCAGCTTGCTTTCCGCCTCGTGGCTCAGTCTGGAGATCTGCTCCCAAGCAGCTTCTGTGTTTGTGCTTATGGGTTTAGGCGCTGGTTTCTCCTCGCTCATCATCTATGTCATGTGCCTGGACAAAAAAGAATCGTGGTTACAAGTTGAAGTCGGCCACTGTCGACGGCTGCATTGCTTTCTCATGTTCCACCGCGAAGCCACAGGTTGGCTGTGCTGACGATGCACGGCTCGCTCAGCCCGCTTTGGCGCGCGCAGGGTTTCTACCGGGTCGTGGTTTTTGTGAGCTCCGGCTGCACTGCATTGCTTCTGCTTCCTGTGGGAATCGTGAGAGACCGCCAGCCAACACAGACCTAGTTACTGGTGTTGAGCGAGGTTAGTCGCTTTGATACAGCAGCTCATCTGCTTTGGGAAGTGGGCTCTGCTCGATGATTCTCACTCCAGCATGTGACGGCATTCTGCCTCAGTCACCCTTTGTTTCTAGCTGGCTCTCTGTGAGGTTCATATTGCTGTTGGTTGCTCTCTGCCTTCCTTCTGGCCTCTTCATTGCTGTCGAGAACTTTGGAATGTCTGGGCAGCAGCACTACATTCAAGGATGTCGCATTACACATACCATCCATCCTGAGGTTTGCGGCTGCAGCCTATCGGGTGTTGCAGGTTTCAGATGCTCCACTTGCTTGATGCAGCATTCCTTTGCAAGGGTAGCTTGACTGCATGTAATTTTGGCTTGCACGCAGGCAGTCCTCTTCATGGACTGGGCTTACAACATCAATGACCGCTTGTACAGCGATGCGGCAACTGGGGCCAAAATCTGGTGATCTAAGCCAAGGGCTACTGCCTTCCCTGCAGAAGGTCTGCACCAACTTATGCTGTTTGTAAGGTGCAGATGAGACGGCGTCTCATTAGCAGCGATGTCTGCGGCCTAAGGAAAGGCTGGCTTCAGGTTCTAAAGGAGTCTCTCGTGGGATGGTAGACCAGGAATGCCTCCCCAAGAAGTGTTGGACTGTGTTGGACCGGAAGCCCAAAACCCTGTTCGTGACTAAAGGGGCTCAAGGCCCTGAGCTGGCGCTTGGGTGCCATGGTGGCAATCTCTGCTTTGCTGGCTCTTGGCTCGCGCTGGCCTTATGTAGGAGGGCCTTTTCAGAATTCTGAGTTGGCCTTGCATTTTGAGAATTTCTGAAGACTTGGGGTAGCCACTCGGCTGCAGATCAGTGAGTGAGACCTAGGTTAGCGGCAGCCATCTTCCTTTGCGTCAATGAGCCAGAGGAATCTTGTCTCGGTTGTTCTTTGTAAGCAACGGCAAGAGGTAGCTGCGCTCACGTTTGTGTGCCTACTTCTGTTCCGAGATGGAAGGTAATCTGGTGCGTGGTCGCCTCCTTTATCCTTTCAGTCCTACTATTGGGCATGAGCATCACAACCTGGTGCGAGCATGGCTCTCTGATGACTTCATCAGTGGCTGGGATCTGTGATGCGAGAAGATACCTCCTCACTTGCACGAGTGTTTGCTCTTTTGCTGTGAGGTCATGCTCGCCTACAACGTCTATCTCTGTCACCAGGTGGCAGAGATCCGGCCAGATAGCGGCGACTCCCTGGATGACGATGTTCCAACCACCATGTGGCCAAGCAGCATGGCAACCTGCCTGACAGACGTGCAAAGTCGAAGAATCCAAGGTATGGCCTCCTGGTGCCCGCTTGTTCCCTGGTCTACTTTGCCATCAGCAGCAGCCCTGCCAGGTTGGGTTCCTGCCTTGCGAGCCTGGTCATGAGCGTGGACCCATGTTTGCAGCCAATCCAGCAGAAAGCAAAGCAGGAAAAAAAAAAGCAACAAGAAACACAGATACGCACATCAAGGCAGGAGGAAAGGCGGCAAGAATCAAGGAAGAAGGGAATGCAGGTGAGACGGGTTCTTGCAACCCTTGTGGTGTACACGCTTTTGGTTTATGGTGTGGGATACGCTCGTCAGAGACCATAGTCTTTTTGGAGGCTTTTGAAGCATCGGGTGGTGGCAGAAAGGCTGCACACCCAGGCCCCCACCCTTTCTGTTATTTGAGGCAACATGCGCTTCTGGAGAGCCTGACCCTGCAGTAGCCGTGCATACTTGCACTAACTAAAGATCATCCAGAGCAGGGTGTTTGCAAATTGGGAGGGTTGGCTCCCAGCCCCTCAATGACTCCGTGCACTTTTGCCTCCAAGCGAGTCGTGAAATCACTATGTTCGCAGTGCCAATGTGCCTCGATGTTTATCAATGGCAGGGCTGCGCCCTCCCTGCCCCAACTCCTCCCAGAGTTGTTAACTTGAAGACAAATCCACCTCTGGAAACCCCCACTTGCTTCATTTTAGTTTATTTTCTGGAATGGACTCGAGCTTTTTTTGATGCTTGGCATGCCTTTGACCTACAGCAGACGCGGAAGTTTGCAGTCGTTGCTGTTTCCAGAACGGCTTCCAATTGGATCCCTAGCTACTCTTCACCTGGGCATCAGCCTGTCAAGTATTTTCTGATCTTCTGGCTCATCTTTGGATCCTTTTGCATGTTTTGATCCTTCACCCCAATCCCACCTTCCGTTCAGCTGATGCTTTGAAACAGACACCTTGCTGGGCGCAGCGCTGCGACTGTCGAGAACGATGACGCCTTCGCTGCCTGTAGCAATCAGCGTGTCACACTACCTTGCGTGCGGCTGTGCTAAGAGTTTTGATTTGCCTTTTCGCCATCTGCTTGGTTACGTACGGTGCTGAGGATTCTAATGACTTCCTCCTCCGCTGTGGGGTCCATTTTCTTGCAGACTTCTATGTGACCTCAGTCCTGGCTCCGCGGGCCTCGTGGCTGCCAGTGACAGAAACTTTAAAATCACTTACTGCGTTGCACTGGAGAGGTGAGTTGGTTGCGATTCAACGTGCGAGCCTCGACCGTCTTTGTGACTTGGCCGTGCATGCTGCTGGCATGTTCTAGAGGCTGCGTCAGCTTTCCTGCTTCAAACTCGTGCTGACATGTCAGGTATGCCTAGCTGTTTATGCATGGACTCTGGTCGCCCCCAAGATCTTGTCCAACAGATCCTTCTGAACTGCACAAGGAGAGGTGGTTTGAGAAAAAGCTGCAGTCACAGCCTGTCAGCCAGCCTTCTTGTGAGGATGGAGTTCAAAGTGCCGGTGGATGTATTGTACATAGCAAAACTGATCAACAAATGGCTCCTGCAAAAAGCATGCACGCCTATCATGCACGCTGACAGGGCTGCAAGGGCTCTCAGTATGCAGAACTCGAGCTTGACGTGCAAGAGCTTCGACAGCTGCCTAAAGGGCATTTGCCGCTTCAAGGTCGGGTATGTTTGAACCGACCTTGTAGCTGCATGTGCAGTGGAGGACCAAAGTGACTCCCTAGCCTCACTTGCGCGAGACCGCAAGACCATAGGTTGAAACTAGGTGTGTCATGTGTGCCTTCACATGCTGCAGGTTTGTGTCCCAATGTTATGCCCGAGCCGGAAGACTGTAGCGCAGACACTTGACCGTCGTAAGAGGCTGAGATGGGGTCGCTGACGTGCGTGCTTGCAGGATGGACCTTTTGGGACCATCAACGGCTTCAGGACACGAAGTGCAAATGCCCGGACGTCACATGCATTTCTCCAACTTGATGCAGTCTCATAATGTATTGTGCCCTGTCATGTGACTGCACCTGGCTTGGATGTTCAACGTGCTTGCTGAGCTTTGCCTTCACCTGCAGGGTGACGTTGATAGGAGAAGTTCCAAATCGCATGTAGTGACCCCGATCCGCTTCCAGGATGGGGCGTTTGCCTGAACAGCCCGTGCCGTGGGAGGAGGCAAGAGGATTTGCAAAGCCCAGGGGTGTCATGCAAACATCGCTTGGAGACACATATCCACAGAACACGTATTTCAGCGCTTAATGCCAAGATCTGTTTGTCACAGGTGAATGCTGCCTGGGGGCAGGCATGTCTCTTGTTGGATGCTTTAGCTCGCAGCTCATTACGTCAGTTCAAGCAGAGTGGGCTAGGTCATGATACGTTGCGCCTGGAGAGTCTGGGTGTGACTGTTGGCAAGACTGTGTTGGTTCAAGGTCAAGAAGGCAAAGCTACCGACCACGCAGTCTCAGTACAGGCCAGCCGGCACACCCTGTTCCCTAATTGGCCAAGAAGGGAAGGAAAGCAAGATCCAGCTAATGTTTCTCCTCGTGAGTGCCGCCGCGCGAGCAGCATGTGCCTCAGCTATATACGCTCCCCTTCTGACACTGCGCGCTGTGCAGGCTGGTGCCCCGTGGCAGCCACTCAACCATCAAGGCCTCATTGAAGCTGTGCATGGTGAATCAGCACGTGAGATGGCCTTGCAACCCAGTAAATCCTGGTAGTACTTGGTCATACGTGCTAAGACGCTGCTCCTTGCCCGACTTGCGAACATGTAGAAGGTTGGCGGTAAAGACTTCGAGCTCTACGGCTATGATGCAGGGCAAGATACTCAGTACCCAAGCTTCAGCAGCACCAGCTCTAAGACTTTGCGATTAAACCTGCAGAAAGCCTTACATGCTCCTATCAGTGCGGGATTGTGGCTTGCCGATCCGCTCTGAGCCAGTCTAGAATCAACCGTGGAGCAACTTCTTCATGGCTGACAATCTCATGTTCCTTGTAGTTCTTAAAGCACAAACAAATATGCTTTCGGGTGTTGTTGAAGTTGTTGGCTGCATCCCATATTCCCATGATGTACAGAGGTTGTCTAACTTCTGGACGGCATCGCAGTTTGGCTCCGCCATGCACGTGCCAAACTTAGATGGCTGAATTCAGAAGTGCATTATGCTGGTCAAAACAGATTCGGAGGCATTCTGCTTTGGCCGAGTTTGCTGAGGCTTTCTTGTGTTTCATGCAGGAGGCCTGGCTTCCTTGGTGGTACAGTACTGAAAGTGTCTGCTTCCGCAAGTCCTGTGTAGAAGAAGTCTGATGGCAGGTCGTGAGCTTTCTGCAGAGGAGCGCTCCCCTGCAGTTGCCTTTCAAAATCGAAAGGGATAGAGCCCTGGTCTCATTTGCTTCCCTTATCAAGTGGGCGCTCTATGTTACCAAGGCGGTTCCAGATTGCGGTAATTGACAGAAGTCCGCAGGAGATTTCGCAGGAAGGGGTGCAAAGGGAGCTCTGAAAGGGTCTTGTTGGACACCCTTCATGGTGCACATTGCCAGCAACCGCTCAGCGGTTGACCCAGAGCGGCGAAGCCGAGAGGGTTTGCTTATCCCAAGCTGAGGGAGAGCGTTTGATGTGGGCAAGAGACATGTCATGCTTGAGGTGGGTGGTTGCTCCGTCAAGGGCAGCCAGTTCGACCAGGAGCGATGGACGAAGGCACACTATGCGACTTTTTCTGAGTGTGATTCGGCAAATCAAGCACTTGTCAGCGAAGCACGACCGCTCGCCGTTCATGCGCAAGATGGCGTACTCAGCCGCCAGTATAGATCCGGTGCCCACTTTGTTCCACTGACCTTGAATACGTGTGCCATTGTCTGAAGCTAACAAGGCTCTCTGGTAATGTGCAGCCATGGCCACCTCCTCGAGCTGCTTGTCATCCGTGCTCAGGCCTATTTGTCTACATGACATGAAGTTGGCAATTGGGATCTTGCAACACTTCCGTGCTGAAGCACCAGGAGCCTCTTCCTGGTTTCGGCTGCGCCAGTGGCAAACACTGGCAAATCACCTCCAAGCTTTCTGAGGCATTGTTACACCAAAGCAGAAGCTGGGTTGGCTGCAGAGGAGGCAAATGCCAAGTTTGAGCTGCTTGGCAATGAGCTCCTTCGAGATGTTCACTACTTCTTGTGTTATACAAGAAGCGTCCGCCTCTCTTGATAGGAAACATGTATAAACACATTCAGGATGGAGAATAGCGGAGTGCTTCTGCGACTGGATGACTGGTCTGATTGGTGGAGAAGCCTAGACCAAGCATGGAGGGTCTGCATGAACACCTCGGAGCCTGGCTGCGAAGATGCTGAAGACGAGGTAGGATATTCATCTTGGTCGCTGCTGAACAAGAGGGCTTGGAATGCTACGGCTGGTGAACTGAGCTTATTTGAGGCCAACACGCCGCAAGGCTATATTGGTTCTAGCAGTCTTCCGTCTTTAGTGAAATGCCTATTTCCCTGTGATGGGTCCACTGGCAGTCGCAGCCACCACGGATGCGGCTGCCACGGAAAGACCAACTTTAACTACCCGTTGAACTCCTGCGGGGCAGGGACTGGCGGCTGGAACTGGTGTAACGCCTACACACCGTGGGAGTATGGCATGGCGGGGCATGTTGGCTGTGCTCTACATCCAAACCAGACTGGTGTCATGTTGCGGCAGTTCAGCAAGTACATGGCGCAGGGTCCAAAGCCAGACGTTTACACCGAAAATGGCACTTTGCGAGGCAACTTTGAAAGTCAGTGGTTTGTAGCAGACCTAGCCGAGTGTGCCGGCAGTAGCCGTGCTTGCATCTAAGAGAGGGCTAGATACAGCAAAGAATTGTTCTTGTAGCCCCCCCCCCCCCCACAGTTCGTTTCTGAGGCGGCTGTGACGAAATCTGGACGGAAGTCGTCATTGAAGGGGAGAGGTGGAATGCGGACCCATCAAAGTACATCAGCGCCTTTGTAGTCGAGGCTTCGTGTCGCAGATCTTGCTTCCGAAACTTCCAGCGTTGGTATCAATTGTTCATCCGAAAGTATGGGTGCAGACCCATCCTACGAATGGACAGAAGGAAGCCTACAAAGATTTTCAGTCCGGAGAGACGAGGCTTGACGGACTTGACCGATCTGAAGGGACCCCCAACTCGCCACCCAAAGAGGAGGGCTCTAAAAAAGCACGCCCAGCTCACGTGGATTGTTTGATCTTTCTCATCCGCGTGAGTCCGCGCGGTGGCAGGGCTGGTCGAGGAAAGGCTGCGGGAGAGCGCAATTTGCTCATGCCTGCCTACCTGGTTGCTGAAAAAAAACCGCCCGTGACGCGGCATGCTTGATGATCAAGCAAGAGAGCTATCTGCAATTTAAGCCTTACACCTAGCTGCTGTACAATATTGCTGCCAAATTTAAGTCGAGCAGCACCACGAAGCCATAGGTCCCATAGGTGAACTGGTTGTATGCTTTTCAAGATTAATTTGCCATTCAGATTTTAACAAGGCTCTTCTCACAGGGAACACGCGAGAGGCTTTGAAGTTCCTTCTCATGGACTTGAAATACCTCATCGCCGTGATTGAGACGATGGGCCCTCAGTCTGCTGGCTACGCTGCGATCTAGTTCAACATGAGTATCATTGAATGCAAACAGCGCGCCAGGCGTGACTTCGTGGCTTCCAGGAACAGCTTGACAGCCGCGACTTGAAACAAAATCTTTTCGAAGATGCCTTATCTTGCAGTCCTGGGAGACTCTGGCATACATAGATTCGAGTTTCAACGCCGTCCTGGATAGTGCGAGGCTGCAAGCACAGCCCAGTCCTTCCGTTCGAGTGCTGCCTTCATGACGTTAGCTGCAAAGTGGCCGGCTCACAGCAGTCGTCCCTCCTCCGCAGAAACCGAAGTAGCGGCCGCCTCGTCCAGAGTCATGGCACTTCTGAGGCAGGCGAGGGGCTAGCAGCTAATATGACCTCTGCCAGCGCCACATTGGCTTAGGTTTCAGCCTGGTGCAACTACGAACTGGGTTCGTTTTTATTAAAATGTAGTTGTGGGTAACTCTGCATCACGGGTGGGCTACGAGGACGATCCTGGTGACCTTGGCCTTTCAGCTTGCCAGCGCGGCGATGCTGTCCCAGGACTGGGATTGCCCCCCAATGAAGTACTGGAGAATCAAGTGGACAAGAAAACGGAACATGGAATTGAAACTAGGGTTAGACGGGTTAAGTAGTATAGTATCTTATTAGATGGTACCAAGATGGCAGATCTGTTGAGGATGCTGAAGTCCAGATGCGATTCTGCTTGCACAGCAAAGCAAGAGAGAGCTCGTAACAAGGCTCTAGCACGTGGTATTCATCTGCAGTAGAAGCTCTTTGCGGCCATGCATGAAGCTCAACTTTTGAACTTGGCAACAACATATCCCTGTGGGCAGGAGCCGCAAGTCAAGCCAACATCCTTCGTGAACACTCCTGACTACAAGGCAGATGTTGTCCGGAGAGACGACAGACAGCGGACCTTTTTCAATGCCGGCCTAGTCAAGTGAGTTGGATTGGCAGAGCTGAAGCAGGCTTCAGACTCCTTGCGGATACAGCTTTGGGACTGGGGCTCAGCATCTCGGGGTGAGCATAGAGTGCGGTGTTGCGGTGTTGCAAAATGCAGGAGTGCCCGTGTTTACATCCAACCTTTCCAGCTGTGAAAGGTTCTTGGCGTCGTTTGCACACTTGGGCTGGCCCCTGACTTACAAGTTAGTTACAGGTGTGATGGCTTGCGTGTGTACATTCAACTCTGTCTAAACATCCGTTTTTGGAGCCCTCGATCAGGATGTACGCCGAAGGTACCCAAGATCCCAGTGCACTTGCATCCCGACAGCTCAATCAGGTTGACTTCTTCCTTGGCTAGCTCCCCGATCTGCCCAAACAGGGTTGCATACAATGCCAGTGCTGGAGTAGGTGAGAATCTTGAAGCAGGGCTTTGGTTGAGTGGATTTGCAGTCAGTATCTGGGCTTCTGCACCCAACTTGCCTTCCCTCGCGAAACGGGAAACAATCCGGCTCCTGGAATGGATTCCGAAGAATAGTCTGATGCCAAGGTTGGGTCTGTGCCGCTCTTAGCACTGTGTGTTGGCAATCGGCTGTTCTGCTTTTCTTGAATTTCATTACACGTTTTTTCAGTTGATTTTCCATCATTGGGTTAATAATCCTCCCAAAGCTTTATAAATATATGTATACAGGACCTTCATGCTCTATTTGGCGAAGCTTATTATAGGCATTTTCTTGTCGAATGTGTTTTTGTACTGCATAGAACATAAGCATAACGAGCTCCAGGCTTTGTAGTAAGCTTTCTGCAGCTAAGGTCAACCAGCTGGTGATGCTTGCGCAACTCCCGGCTCGCGTCGCTCTGGACTGGCCGATGTTGGCCTCATGACCAGATGTGGTGTTGCTTCCAACCTGCGTCACCTCTTATGGGCGCAGCTTGTTTCGACTTTATTCTGCCAGCCAAAGCGACCGGTCTCTACATCGGTGCCCGGGATTGGCAGAATGGTTTGCGGGCAGGGTGCAGAGTGGACAACCTATCTTGGATAACTCAACAATTTCATCTGGTTTGACTGACTCACCTCTGCAACCTCATTTTGGTCCTGTTGGACGTTGTTTGCAGCCGCCGCAAGTTCATCGCTTTCGTCTTCGCTGGTACCGGAGAGCTTTTGAGGTTGCGTTGGATGGGCCTGCTGCCGTCGGCAATTCACTTTAATGCAAGCATCACCTGCGCCATCTGTCACCGAGTAGAGTATCTGCTCTGTCGCCGGTGGGGCGTGTGTCCTCTGTGCTGCTCGTGGATATGCATGGGTCATGCGAGACGAGACGCTAATTATGCGCAGATGTCCGAATGGTCCGATGCAGTTGATGGACTATATGTGGGTGGCCGCTCACAAGTCAAGGATGGAGAGTCGCAGGACTCGGACTTGCTTAGCAGGTCTTCCGTGCTTGCATCAGCTATTTCCGAGTATGTCATCTTCGTTCGCATCCAAGAGGTGGAGGCTGTGGCACTGAGGAGTGTACAGGAGATGGTAGCGCATCCGTCTCTCTGGTCTTCTTTGCCGGACCCTTTCGACTTACAATTGAGTTCTTGTGCTTGGAGATCTCGGATGGATTTGGTGGAGCAGCAATCGAGGCAGGTTACGGATTACGGATTGCGTGGACCGATCGATCGTGCTGGGCAACGCGCGTCTGAATTTACAAGGGCTCAGATGTGGATCGTGCTTGCAAGCGGTTGGGTGTTTGGGCACGTGTGAGGATGTCTCTGATACCTCACAAAGATGCGGGAAGCAAGGATCTGGTGACGTCGCCCGTGGATCCGACAATGTCGAAGCGAAAATGGGAGAGTCATCTCTTCGAAATCAGACAATGCGTTGACCTGCTGAAGAAGTAGCTGCCAGGCACGTGCGGCGACTTCATTGACACGTTTCCAGACTGTCCTGCAGGCCTTTGGAAAGATGACTTTCGCGGCGGAACACCATCTGCCGCGTGTGCTGCTGGCTTGTGCTGGTGGCGCATGTGTGGAGGCAGATCGGGTGCAGCCTTCTCTCACGCACCAGCAATGGGTTTGCGTAAGTGAGAGAAGAAGGACGGCTCTTGTGCGTCAGGAAGCAAGACATGAATCGAAGAACACGGATGATTGCGCAGGCTTTCTTTCGACGTGGCCCATGGCGCAAGTCGTTCAATCCTTATTGCTGGCCTAGCTACAGCGAGAACGCAACTGCGAGAATCCGTCTTCCTTGCTTTTCATACGCAGACGAACAGCTTCCCATGCCTTCAGGCAGTGGTGATGATTTTGTCCTCCGTTCTCGAATTCCCAACGTACAGTGTGAACTTCACGTGCGAGTGCATGAACATATCAGAGACACGCGTAATACTTTTACGCAAGCGACGCTTAGCTATCATGTCAATGGCCGCGTGCCGCAGAAATCCGATATCGGTAACAGCCCTGGTACACTGCCTTGCTCAGGACTTCAATGCGGATGATTCCGTTTCGGAGATGATGGCAAGCTCTCGCCGGCCTCGGCCAGAATACGCCAGGGATGTGAACGGCTTGCTCTATCCGAGGCACCTGTTCTTCTCAACGGCGGCAGCATGCAGGGCGACTGCTGCGAGCTTCGATTGCTTGCTCGTTTTCTTCGAGAGTACCCGCTGCCTCTGGCGGCTTTTCGCTCAGAGTGGTGTATCTTCGCCGAGGAAGAACAGCTGGCAGGGTGCATTGATTTCGTGGCCAAATGCTCGCCGCGCGAAGTCATTCTCTTTGATTGGAAAAGAGCCAAGCAGCTTCGTGAGAAGTACAGAATCATTGGGCGAACATGAAACATCCACTATCACGTTTACCAGACAGCGCTGGAATTCACTATCGCTTGCAGCTGAACTTGTACAAGTTCATGATCGAAAAATACTACGATCGAAAGCTGCGCGCCGTGCGTGTTGTCTGCCTGCGTTTCAAGGTTAAAGAATCCCTTCGCCAAATAGAACAAAAAATTCCATGCCACATACGTATCTATATATATGTATATCTTTATACTACACAAAAATCCTTTCGGCAAGCTTGTGGTGCTTTTCGATCTGATTGGGAGCTGGAGGTGTGGTGGATGTCGCGCCCCGAGCTTCTGCAGATAGATATTGGGTGACTTGCATTTGGTGCCCATCTACTTGGGACCCTGAGCCCTAAACCCTAAATAGTAGTTTCCAGTTTCTTTTCCGTTATCCCTATCTAGCCCCAATACTCCATGATCCCTAGCTAAACCCTCATATAGCCCCTATAAAAACCCTTATACAACCCCTATATCCCCTTTTTAAAGATGACCAGGTTCAAGACCACCCCGGGTCAGGCATTATGAAGAGGCGCCGGGCAAATAGCGGTCCTGGAGGTTTTGGGCAAGGTTGAGCAAGAACATGGAAACTACTATACAAGCAATAGTCTAAACTCCTTAATGAGGGCTATATAGGGGATCATATAGGGGACTACTATAGGGGATATTAAGTGGGATACTAGGAGTTTAGACAAGGGCACATATAGTGTATTGGGGTTATGTAAGGATACTGGAAGAGAACATGGAAGTTGTTATATAGTTTTTTGGGTTTGTATAGGGGTAATGGAAAAATGGAGCCTATTGTATACTATATTGGGGTCATATAGAGATAATGGAAGAGAAAATGGAAAGTACTAAATCGTATGCCATTGGTAAGTGGCCACTGTACTGCTACTTGTATAGCGCCACTCACTTGCCAGTTCAGGTAGCGGGCTTGATGTAGAATCATGGCCACCTTGAGCAGGATCATGCAGCGGGCCTGAAAATCTGATCTGCTGTCAGATAGCTTTGTCCGGATCGGATACTAGCCGAACGCCTTACAGATTTTGCGGGTCATATTCTAGCATCTCTAGCACTGGCAGGACTGAAAATGGTCCCAGCCAAACCTCTCCCTGGCGTAAAGCCATAGTCATCCATGCACAGCAGCCGCAAGTGCCCTCACCTGGCCAGAATCAGAAAGACAGCGTGTGGGAGATTGCCGGGACAATCTTGACCATGATTCAACTTTGAGGCGCTTAAGCCATAGAAGCAGCTTCATTGCCCAGATGTGCCATGAAAATCTGCACAGGATTCATCTCGCGGGAGTTGCGAACATGCTTTTTTGTTAGCAAATTGTGGTACCTGTGCTTCAGCCCATACAGATATTCTGGTGCTACGGATTTAATTACAAGACAGCATACTCTGGCTATAACGGTCAATTCATATTCATTCGTGGAGACTTGCGCTTCAAATTCTGAAGGATGTTTCAGCAGCACTACTGGGGTTGTTCCCCAACGCGAGACTCCTGACCCCAACATGAACTCAGATGATCACTCCTTACTCTCATAGAGTGGATGATGAGCTGTGGTCAACCCATGCGGCAGCCAGCGTAAACTGCGAAGGCCGGGCAAGTAGAGTCCTGCAATTGGCTGTTGTACCCGTGCTCACCTTTTGGATCCGGATGTGATTTTCCAAAGCGCCATCTACAGACACGAGTCCAAGTTTGTGCCTGTCTGCCGAAGTGTTGCAGCCTTGTGGTCAGTGATGCACTATTTCAACCAGTCATTCAAGATTGCTCAACACCGAAGGCTTCCATCATGAACGACCCATACCAAGAGGCAGGTTGGGCACTGCGGTGGTCTTTTGACATTTATGGACTGTTTTCTGCATCCAGCACTTCGGGAGCCATTGTGGCAGGCAGAAGTAGGAAGTGCCTTTGTTTCGTAATGGCCTCCATTTTCTTTTCCATTATCCCTATAACCCTAATATTACCCCTATATAATCCCTATAATCCCTATAGTTTCCATTTTCTGTTCCATGACTCCTGGTAACTCGCAGGATGAGGCTGGCGGTGCCCGCCCCTCAAATGCAACTGGGAAGCACTTCTCCAGGATCTCTGGGGTTATAGGGGATATATTGGCATAATGGAAAAGAAAATGGAAACTACCAAAATATTGGGGTTTAGGGTTTTTCAAAACCAAGGTTTTATTGGGGTAATACTGGGATAATGGAAAAGAGAATGGAAACTACCCTGGAGGGCGGAACGAGGGCCTTGGGAGTTGAGCTGCGGAACTGTAGATAATTCGTCACGCAAGTACCTATACATTGTTGTAAGACTGTCAGAGGTTGGACATGCCCCTACAGTCACTACAGCAAAGGCAAGATTCCAGCAAGCTCACTGTCCTGTGGTCGGATTCCGCAACTAACGATCATTACCATTGTCATTTTTGTTGTTACTACCATTACTAGTAACTAGTACGATTATCAGTATTAGTATCTTAGAGATGGAAATGAGAACAGGCATGGGGTGCAACGATGCCCATAGGTCCCCGTTCCATTCAAGACGAGGTAAGTTGAAAAACCATTTGAAATTGCTTACTGGGGGTTACTATAAGGAATAAGGGAACACATCAGATTGGGATAATATCGGGATTATGTAGGGGTTATGTCCCCTTATTCCCTACCCAAACCCCCAGTAACTCAAGCTGCTGGCCAAACAGGAGTCACTAGGTGTGCCTCGCTAAGTTCGTTTCACCGCAACACTTGGGACCATCTCCCAAGAACAACGACCCTCTGCGGGCCCAGGAGCCAGCCTGAGCACCTCCAAGAAGCCAAGATATCATATTGTCATTTATTTTCTTTTCCATTATCCTTACTTAACCCCCCCAATAATAATATTTGCACCTTGAGGCAAAAGATGGCGGCCTTGAGTCCGCAGTGCTGGCCAGCAACCCCATGGGTCTGCCCTTGAAGGAGCTCCGACGGTTAAAGGACGGAGCAAGTTGCTAGCAGTTTTTGCTGCCAGTTGCACGAGGAGTTTTAGCTCTCGCCAGTTGACAGGACCAGTTTCAGGATGAAGAAGGTCAACCGGTCAAGCTGGACGAAGAGCCCACTCCTAAATCCATTTCCAGAGAAGCCTCAAGCATGATGCAGAACCGCGAGTCATGCGCTAAGCTGGAGGCAGTTCGTGGACGCCCTTCTCTCGCGGCTGACAGGCTCGATCTCAACCTCCCACGCTGAGCTGTGGCCTCACGTTCCGTGATTTTCAGCTCTCTAGCTTCTCGCATGAGCATCAAGGCGAAAACGCTGGGATGTGGAGCTGCGGACGTTGTTCAAGAAGATTGACGCCAGCTGCTCCCAAAGCGTCACGTGGGAGGCGCGTGCTGCGCAGACGTGTGCATGCCTTACCACTTATTGTCTCCAAGACGCTGACCTGGCGACCATGTCAGTTGGCCTTTAGTGAGATGGTGTGACTTGGGACTCTGCTTCTACAGAGGCATATCATTCTGTAAGGGCGAAAGTGCGGCGTGCCAAGAAGACTTTCTCTTCGTCTGCTTTCTAGTGGGTGGGACTGGCAAAATCTCCGATGAGATCACGGTGGCTATAGAGTTGAACATGGGAGTGAGTTAAGTCTAGTCACTCTTTGCTATCTTGACCCCCAGTGCCTCATTGCGGATCCTGATTGCCATGAGTGAGATTTAAGAAAAACGCAACCACATGCGCATTGCTGCCGAACAGAATGAGACCACGACCAGCAAAGACTTGCTTGTGGCTTCCGCTTCTCCGACCCATGAGCCTGCAGGAGTTCACGAACTATATGCTTTTCCATGCGCCGGGCTTCAACTCATCAGATGGAGCCTGCGAGCTCGGCTCTTGGGGCAAGCAGAGACATCTTGACCATGCATCAACTGTGACTTTCCGGCTCTGCTTGTGATGCTGGCGGCTTGGGTGGTAGTTGAGTTGGGGGCAGTCATGGTCGTTGTGTTGGGGATTGGTCGTGACTATGGTAGTGGCGTGGCAATGAGTAAAGTTGTGGCGGTGGGTGCTGATGCTGTTCATGATTCTGGTGATGGTGGCGGTGGTGGCAGTGGTGGTGGTGGTGATGGTGGCGTGTTCCTCTGAAACTGCCGCATCTCCCGCAGCTGCCAAAGCTCTCGCTACTGCCAAAGATGCCGCCGCTGCTGCTGCTGCTGCTGCATTGGAACATGGTAAGCTGACCAGTTCAGCGCACGATGCCAGCAGTTTCTAGAGCTCTGGGAGGGTTGTTTGTGGAAAGAATATTCTCGAGGAGGTTGTCAAGTTTGGAAAAGAACTTCCCTGAGGAGCGCCTCAGCAACGCTGCATCATTGATATACTCAAAGTACGTCACCGGAGCGAAGGGCGCACATTTACGTAAACGTGCCCTTCCAGTCATCATTACTGCAGGGGTGAGACAGGGGCCAGGAGATACTCTGCTGTCGGCATGTTGTTGCAGTCCAAGATCCATTGCAATCCTGGAACCGTTGAATTCTATGTTTTCGCAGCATTTGATGGTTTCTTTGCAGTTGCATTGTATGTGGCAGTACTGATGATCCGTCCTTGTGGCTTTGAAAGCGTGTGCCACAAGTCAAGTCGTCTATCCTTAACTGAGGCTGTCCCACAATGCGGCGGCCGCCGAAGCACTGGCGGGCGCTTGGCAGTGTGGCCATGCGGAGCGGCTGAAGGGAATGGACATAAGGGTTTAGAGGAGATCAAGAGGATCCTCTCTTAAGGATATCATAGAGGTAAGTGTGAGAAGCGCCCTTTAGGTGACAAGCAACACGCTTGCCAGGTGAACTTCGAATCTCCTTTTTCGCTGCAGGACATGATCAATAACATTGCAGTGGTGTACGACTTTGCCAACAAGCAAGACAACGGCAATGTTCAGATCTGAGTCACAGCGAGCCATGCTTGTGAGTAGCCGTTGCAGTGCTTCACAACCAGGATCCTCAGCATGAGAAACATCATGTGCTTCCAAGGATCCCTACCTGATTTGTTTTTCTCCAACAGAGTGGTTTCCGTGGGCCTTGTAGCCAGGATGTGAAAGCAACCAATCCTTGTACACTCGCAAAGCTCTGTACAATCCTTGCATTATGTTATTACTTTTGTTACTATTGTCATTATTACTAGAACTATTACTTTTAATATTGTTACTATTATATTCCTCAACATAATATGCCCCTTTTTGCAGGGACTTTCACGCCCTCCGAGTTGAGCTGAGGCTGCAAGTAGCGCGCCTGCTGGCCATGCCAGAAGGCTATCTTGCATCTCATGCAGCATCATTCAGCTGATTCCAAGTAAAGTGGTATTTCTCATAAAAGTCATCAGGACACAGTACTCAGAGCACTCATGACAGCTACTGTGTATAACAGCAGCCTCATCTGAAGGTTGAAGTGGTGGCAAGGCATTTCTAAAGTTCTGCTAGGTGTTGATGCAGCAGTGGCCGCTGGAAGGGGATGTCTGTTGGGCGCCCTGCTGCAGGTACATAACTGCCGGGCGGGATGGATTCGTCAAGGCGCGGAACAGCATGAACTGTTTGGGGTCGTCAAGCCCCATGTCAGACATCAGGAAAGATCAGGAGGTGAACCAATGATGTACTTCATTCAGAGTTGAGGTCTGGCATCCTAACTTGACGCTGTACAAGGAGGTGGATGTCCCTATCTCAGCTGGCTGTAAACACAGCCTCTATGTTTCCTGCAGATACGAACGAAAGGAGGGCAGAAATTGCTCGAACCCTTCGTCCTCAGGTGGGCCAGACAAGCAGCTGGCTCTCTGCATGTTGCTGGATGCAGAAGCCTGACCCCCGTCATGCTCCACCATGCTTTGAGGTCTGGACTCTTCCGCAGATCGCAGCATGCGCTCTCTACCAAGGTCCAGAAAGATAGCTGTTGCTTCTTCAAGTCAGGAAGCTCAGTGGCCCAAAGTCTTGCTAACACACCAGGAGCTGCTTGGCCTTTTCACTGGTCAAGGCTTCCGAATCTTCTTCTACGACAGCGCCCTGAGCCTTGCGCTCAGATGAGGGCCACAGACTATGTGGGCCTTGCCAAAAATGCCTGACACTCCAAGGCCCAATCACTCACATCGATCACCGGGAGGGCACGCCACAGACCCAGACCATGCCAAAGCTTTCGTTGCAAAACCTCAATGGCCTCAACGCAGAGTGACTTCAAAGCAGCTATTTTGAAAAAAGCAGTTATGGGATTGCCCCATGCCGAGGCCCCTTTGCTTGGGATACACTGAGCCGGGGGCCAAGTTTCGGGGGACTTTGCTAGGATGCCACAGGTATCCCAGGGGCTATTTGAGAGCAAGTCCTCACATTACGAAGGGGAGCTGCTGATTCCGAGTCGTGTCTTCTCTCCTGTACCGAGTTCTCATGAAAACAAGAGCTCTGAGAAGGAGATCCTCATGGTGGGCCCGTGCACTCAGCAAACTAGCTGGAAAAAGCGCCAGCATCAACTCTGGATGCTGACATCTCAGGTGATGATAGGGGGTATGCTCGAAGCTGAGACCTTGCCTCCCTTAGAAGGCTCTTGCAGCTGCTGGCTGATTTGCAGAGTCTGCTTGAAATCTGCGGATGTTGGGTCACGCTGAGGTGAGTGTCTATCCATTGGATGCTAACGACTGGCTAGAGCACGAGCCGAAGTCTGATGGTAAGCCAGACAGCGATGGCTTAAAGGTCAAGAAAATGCAAGGCCCCCAGCTTTTTCCGAAATCCGCACATTTGATTCAGCTTTCCTGTTGAGCAATTATCCAGGTCTCGTACGAAGTACCACAAGGACTGGGTCACCAAGGCCCATGCGGACGTATATGACACGCGTTCACCTCGCTTCTTTATATGTAACTAATTGGGCCATTTCAATGATGGGTAGGTTGGCTTCGTCTCCCAGCTTCAAGCGATGGTCACCTGCAGCCTCGATGGCGAAATCAATATTTGCGATGTACACACCAACCAGCAGCTCAGCATCAAATATCAAAACGCTGGGATGCCAGGACGTAGTTGCCCCAGTGCCTTAGCCGCAGCATGTGACCTTGGCTCGTCCGTCTTGAAAGAGGGCTGGCCGGGTATAGACTGCTAATCCACAGACTCTTGTGAAGCTTGCTAAAGTACATCATGATGCCATGCGCCTCTCGTCCCAAGGCGAAAAGAAGGTCGTGACGCCGTGCGGCTTCACAAGAAAGGCCTGGTGAACATGTTTAGATCTCCATTGCAGTTGAACTGAAGGGGAATGCCTGCACTCTTCGCACATTTCTGTGCAGTGTGAGAGCGTGCGCCATAGGAATGGAAACTGACCAACTACTGCCAGATGACTCATAGGTAGTCATGCCAAAATATGACATCGATTGTACCACATCTCTGGGACCATTAGGGGCAGTAATCAGATGGAGTATTAGAGGAGACGGAAGCCTCGGATTCTACAGTGTACGCCCTCAGGTGTCCACTCCTGGTGTTGGTGCGCAAATTACAAATTCTTCGCCTCAGGTGGTCCGGAACTAATCCTGAAGGTGTGATCTCTTTGTTTGGGAAGGGGAATGCTCACTGAATGATCTGTGGAGACTGAGGATCCGACCGCCAGATCATCATCTGGAATCCCTACACTCAGAAAGCCATGAACTACCTCCAAGGGTCTGGCACCTCAGAATTTTTGACAATCCGACGGACATTTCTTTGGAGATTCCTGCATGCGTGTCCGAACTGCGACAGTCAAAATTGCTTCTGAAGACAGGATGAAACATAATTTTGCAGCCCGGTTGGTAGGTTGTTATCTGTGGCAGCTTGCGAGGCACAGCGCCCCAGTCTTTGATGTCCTGGTCAACGAGAAGCAGTGCCTCATCTTCGACATTTTCTCCATCACTCTGGGATGTGACACAGGGGCCACAGACAGACGGCAAAGCAGCCCCAGCAACCTTCCAGGCACCAGCTGATCTCGATGTCAGTGGACAAAGTTGTCAAGGCAGGCGCGTGTGAGTTGGGTGCAGATCGGACAAGCGTCTTTTTTCTTCCAAGGGTGCCTGTGGGTACACTTCCAAGTGCCTCATGATGCAGGTTTGGGATATACTGAACTACCAGTGTATCCAAACTTTCACAGACAAGACAGAGTACAAGCCAGAGGCAGGGCGGTTCACATGTTCTCTCGTCTGTTGATTGGCTCATGCCTGACACCTTTGTTGCCTCAATATGGAGGAGCTTCTACCAGCACACCATACGGGGATCTATACCAGCGAATTCCACAATTTCACACCCTGTGTTAATTGCACTGGCAGGACAGACTCACTTGCATGGCATTCGACGAGGAAGGCGAGAGAACCAGTGTTTGGCCGGAAATCCTAGCCAGCATATCTAGTCTTAGCCCGTGTATGGGCCGAGGCTTGTGTTGGGTTGAATAATGAGAATAATGAGAAGGTCTTGATTCTTAGAGAAGAAGCATGCAGTCGATCGTCCAAGGGTGAGTATGATCAGCCACTAGTATCATCCTAGACCAACTGATTGAGAGAATCCAGCAATCAAGTTTATCCGCAAGCGCTGAAAGGAGGCACAAGAACAAGCATTACTTTGTGACCTAGAGGATCACGGGCATAAGCCTTGGCCAAGCTTCCATCATCTTCCAGCTCCCTAGTGCCTGAGCATGACGTAAGGGCTAGATCAGGCAGGGTGTGGTTGACATTCTCAGGCCAAGCATCAAGAGCACTTGTCTTCACAAGCACTGCGAATTGCAGACGCTGGAGCTTTGAGGATCCTTCGAGGTGAAGGCTTAACAATGTCACGAGAATGCTGAGCCTGCCGAGCTGGTTTCTCCGAGTAGCTTCGTTGATGCTGCAGGGCCTGCGCTGGTCCTGTGCTCCAGCCTCATAAACGTGCTGCCCGTCAGTGTCAAGGCTGGTGTGCCTGGTGCGGGTTGGGCCTGCGTGGTTTGAACATGCGAGACCTGTCAAGCCGTTCCATTTATCAGCATGTGCAAGGGAAGAGGGTCTATCCATTGATGAGGACTGCGCGGAGAGAGGTGTTGCTTTATTCCTTTGCTTTTACGTCTGGCCTGCACGGTCCACATTTGTAACCCGCTTCTTCCAGTCCAGCTAAATGTGTAAATTCTACTTGTTGGCAGCCGTTTCGGGCGGAAGCTACTTGAGGTCGACAACGAGCATGCAATCTGAGCAGGGCGGGTAATAGGACAAGTCTCGCGAATTCCAAGAGCAGGACAGATGTTCCTCAGTTGCTGTCCAAAGGTGCAGACGAGCCGAACGCACCTGGCTCCAATTGTGTGCTGGCAGCAAACATGCTAAGGCTGTTGTTTGTTTTTGTATGCTGGAGAATTCATGCCAGAAAATTGTTGCCAAGCAAATAGTACACCCGCCTGGTGATTTTTGTGGAGCTTGTGTGTATGCAGGGGGGGCTCCTCCCAGAACTCATCGCCATCAATCGAGGTTTGAGGTGTGAGCTAGGGCAGAGTCCTGCAGTTTTACTTTAATGCAATTACCTTCAGATCCAAATTCATTGCTAATCCTTTTTGAATGCCCATTGCAACAAGGGCATCCGGAAATTGACGACTACCTTTCGTAATTTGAAGCCTGTTTTTGCCCTCATTCAGCTTGATGTGTTGTCTCCAACTCCGTGCTGGTGTGAGGTCGGAGCTTTGCACAATGACGTCTTCCACCAGATCATCTCCGGTGACAACACGGGGACTGTATCGGTGGTGTCCTTGCTTTCTCCATGGTCTTGGCATGATCATGCATCAAAGCCAAGGGTCCTTTCGTGGAGTCCTCTGAGGGGTTTTCAGTTTCTGGTTGCGGTGAGTGCTGGTTGGTTCGAAGTCCGGCCGCCGGTACTTGGTTGTACAACATATCTTTTTTTGCAACCGCCGCAATGCTTGCTTGTGAGATTTGTGCTGGCTTGTCCATTATCCTTGCAAAAGGTGTGGGACATCAAGACCGGGAAGCTGGAGTTCGAATTTCGCCGTGCTCATCAGGACCGACCTGCAAAGCGCGGCCTGCCAACGAATTGTGGCCAAGAGAAAGAGATTGGTCCTTGGCTCGCGACACAAAGCAAGATGAATTCCCTTCAGGATCACAAGATGACTTGCATGGCCTTTGACGAGCCGAAACGCTGCCTTTACACCGGCGGCGAGGCTGGCAGTTTGTCGCACGTACATCTTGGCGCCAGCTCATCACTGCCCAGCTTGTCCAGAGACTTTCACAACTAGGATGGCTGCGTCAAGCTATGGAACTTTTCCTCAGGACAGCAGCCACGTCCTTGGCAAATTTTCTTGTTGACTACTTGTGTCCTTTGGCAACGACTTCCTGTTCCCTTATTCCGCCTGGTGGCAAGCTGGCAGTGTACATCGCTGAAACCAGCGTGCTTAAGGTTGCGCAGCTTCACAATGAGGCGGCCAGCAGAGATTCGTAGCTGTGGCCTCAGTGCAGGTATAACATGTTTAACGTAATTTCAGCAAGCCTGTGCAGGCAATTTGGCTGTTGTCAGGCAAGAAGTAGTACGTCCTCAACATTGAGCACATAGCGTCAGAACCCGTGCAGTAAGGTCTGCTGTGGGCTCAAGAAGGGCCTAACACGTTTGTCGTCGGGCTGGCGTGGGACAGGCGGCTGCCTCCAAGCTTGTTGCCCTATGGCATTGTGATTTTCCGGATTATTGGCTGCTTGCTATAATTTCGTTTTCCTTGGGAATCCGCAGCGTCACCATACCATAAAGAAACCTGGCTACTGCAGCCGTTCGACCTCTATGATGGATAGGCCCTCAGTTGTGCTACCTGATCAGTTCCTTGACAAAGGCGGATCTACATCTGGCCAGACAGCCACAAGCAGCAGGCCTCCAGTTCCATTTTCCTTTATAACCCAAATATCACCGACCCCAACATACTATTGTAGGACAGAAGTTCAGTATAGTATATTGGGGTTATATAAGGATAATGGAAAGGAAAACGGAAACTACTATAGTAATAAGGTTTAGGGTTTAGCAGGCAGGCAGCAGGGTGCCTCGAGCGATGCGTTGCCAGGTGGAGCCGCAGTATGTGCTCGAAGACTTCACGGGGCAAGGGCATACGGACCGCTTCCCATCCTGTACAGATTGAACCGCGCAAATCATGTGCTGGAACTAGTATTTAGTATGTTGAGGTTATGCTGGGAAAATGGAAAATAAAATGGAAACTACTATGTTATTATTGGGAATATACTGGGGTTATATTGGGATATTGGAAAATAAAAATGGAAACTACTATGTTATAATTGGGAATATACTGGGGTTCTATTGGGAAAATACAAAAAGAAAGTGGAAACTATTATTATACATTATATAGGATTTGTTGCAGTCCCTGACCACCTTAAACGCCCTGGCCGTGAGGATGATGTCGCTTGCCTCAGCCGGCTGTCATCCGTCACTGGTCTTCTAGCCACTGGAGGCGCTCATCCACTGGAGATTATCCCTATATAAACCCCAATATATTATCATATGCTAATACATTATAGTAGTTTCCATTTTCTTTTCCATTATCCCTATATGACCCCAATGTAACCCCAACAATCCCAATACACTATGGTAGGACAGAAGTCCAGGGTAGATATCAAGCCAACGACCAGATTCGCATGTTTTGTTTTGCTGCAACACAAGGCGCAGAAGTCATTCCCGTGAAAGTGAGAATGTTGCTACTTCCCTGCTGAAGGCGATGATGGCTATGTGTGTTTCTGGAAGATCCAGGACGCGAATTTGTGGCCGCAGTGCGGCCCCACAGACCTCGGGCCCCTATGAGCAGATTGAGCGCTTTGGGGCTTAAGGGCTCAAGGTTGTAGGATGTTTTTGGGTTTGAGGGTCTAGGGTGTAAGGTTAGAAGTTTGGGTTCAGGAACAGAAGAAGATTTGGAATAGTGGCTGTAGCAGGCAAAGACCTTCAGCAGGGCCTACGTTGCTAGCACTCCAAGAAAAACACATAGCGATTGTATCCATACTATGGACAGTTCAAAACGTCGCATTGCCAGACAACAGCAAAGATAATGTAAAGCTAGATTAAAAAAACACAACAACATATACAACAAAATGGTAGCAGCAGGGGTCATCCACTACTATGAACCTCCCGACCTCTGATCATATCAGAGTTTCTTTTTAGATTACCATCAAGTTCTGCATACTGGAGGAGACAGCAGCTGGTGGTGGGGCCAGTTCACGGTGAGGGGCCTACGGTAGTTAGGTGAGTGTGAGTACTTTTGATAGAGATGGCAGGGATTCCCAAAAGTAGCACTTCTTCTTCGCAGGATTCCTGCATATTATCGCAGCCATGATTGCACATATCTTTCGCATATTCCCTACCGCAGTCACTGCAATGAGTCGAGCAAGAGTACCATGATGATGATGATGATGACCATGATATGAGCGTTGTCTGTACTTCAAGTTCCTTCGTTGGAGCGCATTGCAGTAGTGTGTAGCCGAGGAGATATAGGCTCTTCGATGGCGCTCATGCTGGGAGCTGAGGGGTGGCAATTCTTATGTTGGTATGGCAGCTCAGCGTGTTTCATTTATGCTAGCGCTGCATGGTCCAGCACCTTTCGCTCGGTTAAGCTTGGCACCAGGCCCCAAAGAAGCATGTGCCCACGCGCCGCACCAAGTTGGTTATGGAGTTCCGGTTTCTTGTTGAAGACAGCGCACACATAAAAGAAGCAAAAGTCCATGGAATGGCATCTCTTGGATTCGTTACCATCTGACTAAGGGAAGGGACGTCTGACCGTCGCAAGAACAAGAAAGGCGGCACGCAAGGAGGCTGGGTAGTTTGAAATGCATCGTGTGAAACCAGGTTCTGTCGGACCGTGTTGCTCTTTGAATGCTAAGTGCAGACAAAATCCTAAGGTTGTCGTTTGAGCTCTCTTCTAACAGAGATTTTGCAAATTGCCTACTGCGTCCAGGTGACTCTGTGCCGGTCCAGCCCTCACCCGCAAATATCATGTAGGTTCAGGTTTCAGGGCTTAGCGTGTCAGGCTGGAGTTTTTCTTGATCTCAGTTTATTACTCCAGTATCAAGTTAGCACTCGTTGTAGTTTTAGTCTTCATATTAGTATTAGCTGTGTCTTCTGTTTGTAGTACTTGTATTATCAGTGAGCCTCAGCATCAGCACGAGCATATTTGCGTTAACATTAGTATCAGAATGAATATTTGTATTTGTATTTGCATTAGCACCGGTACTAGAGATGCCATTAGCGTTGGCACCGTGTCAGTATTTGGATGACTATGAAGACATCATATGAGTCTAAACGTGGACGGGCTTGAATCTTGGGGACGGCCCCCCTAAACCCTAAACCCTAAGCCCAAACCCTGATATGGGGGAGAAAATTGGAAATAGGGCCTTCATAAAGGCCTGTGGAGATTGATTTCAAAGGGGATGGTCGGATTCTAGTGCCCGAAAGCAGCAACACATTGAAGAAGGCCTTCAATCATTGGCATGTAACTCTTTCTTGAAACGCACTAAGAAGACCTCTTCATGAGTGCGGGTCCCACATCAGTATTCGAATTATTTTCAGTTTTGAAAATCTACACTGACTGCACTTCGTATTAGTTTGGGCATTAGTATTCCCTTTTTAAGATCAGTATGCGTATTCGTATTCGTAGCAGAACTTGAGCTATGGTCTGCTAGCTTCTGGATTTTACGGTTTCAGCGTGCCCGCTCATGATCTTGAATGCGGGCAACAGACATTGTTCCAAATTTCCTTGGCAGTCAACTAGCAGTCATCAAAAGACTGCTTGGGACCTGTTGTGCGTGTCAGATGAACTTCCATCAGGCCACGAAACGCGTGTCGCATGCAGCTCCGCCGCAGGTGGACTCCTCAAGTGAAGGGTTACAAGAACAGATGCCATGGCTGCGCATGCTTCTTGAATTGGCGCATGGTCTTGGTCACAGTTCGCTACAATCTGCACCCTTGATATGGCAGGGCTACCCAGACTCTCCGACTTCGTCGTCGCCATCTCAGTGCTGGATGCCTGAAGCCAGCAAATTTGTCGCAAGATTTTTCGGCTTCCGGCGGCAGGCTGATGAGAGGCGTGCAAGGGACAATACCTATGTCAGAAGGTGTCTTGCATGTGTCTGAGGCTTGCCGCCGCTGAAGAAGGCCCAGATGTGCCTCCATGCGTGCATGCTGCTGGAGGGGGTCAGGCAATACTTGCGGGGTGGCACTGAAACCTACAACACCATGCACGTAGGAGCTGAGGAGCCGTGGCCGGAGGACATATGTTAGCTGGAGTTCTCAAGTTAACATGATTCTGGCAGAATCCTGCCAAGACGCGCGTTTTCTGACAGCATGTGGGAGGTTCCAGATTTTTTTTTACTTGTGTTGTTTGTACGTTGGAATAATTTCCCTATTTTTTGAAGCAGGTGCATGATATCAGCAAATACAGAGGCTGGACACGACCCTCTCATTGAAAGGTCAGATTGCTGTAGGGGCTGAAACCACGATCGGTCTAGCAGGAAGCCTTTCCGTTGCCGAATTCATGATTAAAGGTCAGGACCCAAGCATGCAAGAACTGCTTGTGAAGAGGAGTACGAAAAGCGGTGTCGCATCGCAATGCACCTGATGGAAGACCTCACCGGGTCTGACAAAGACACAGGTGCATCGTGCCTGCAAGCATGTTGTGACTTTCTTGAGTTGAACATACCTGAACACAGGATGCATCGCACGTGTCATCTCAGAGTCAATGCCGAAGCGTGCATGTTCGCTCCAGGATTTGCATCTTGCGGTGTGGAGCATACAATCTTCTTGGAGCACAAGGAGCTAACGTGACGCTTGCTGCGTAGAAAACGCACTTTGATGAAGCAGATTTCCGGCTTTCGATGATTCCCAGAAGAAATTTGTGAATGTGGCTGGCTGTTCTTGCCCGTTAAGGGGGCTTTCCAAAGCTAGGGATTTTCCCTAAACAAGTGAGGGCCATGTGCAAGAACTCTTATCATATGGGCTCCCAAAAAGGAGACCCTCATTTTAGAAAAGACTGGTTACCCTCAGGGTCAGCTCGGGGTCATCCTTGGTCATTGGGTCAGGTTTGGAGGGTTTGTGAAGTTCTCCAAGGGGTCAAACAAGAAACACGAAACCAAGGTGATAAGGCTTGGGATCATAACAAAGGTAGTGACTTGCATATAGTAAAACTGACCTTCGACTAGTATATGAAGCCAATTATGCGGCGTTGAAGCTCTTGCCACGAAGGAGTGTCTGCTCACCATTCATGCCGACCAGTTGGCACGATTATGGTTGCCGCCTTACTCAAATCACTGCTGCCGCATCGCAAGCCTGACACACTTCCACGGAAGTTGTATTCATTTTGAGTAGCTCCTTGCGTGCAGACTCGAGCGTTGGTGTTGACGTCAAGGAAGCTCCGCAATCCATGCGCTCATTTGTATGACAAGATGACTACTGGTAAGTTGATGTAAGTTGTTCACAGCTTGTGTACCCAAACTTCAAGACTGAAGTGGGGTCCCAAAGGGCAGAAAGCCTTGAACCATGGCAGTGGTAACTGACTGCAGCGCGAGGACCACCAGTTTTCCTGACACTCGAGGTCGACCAAGCAGGCTGAGTTCCTCGGCAAGCTCGTCATGCTCCAAATTTGCTTCCACATGCACTGTCGACAAACGCCTACTCCAAGACATGTTGCGAAATAATGAGACAGAATGCTCGCACCTGGAAACGAAGCGTGCTCTGGCCCGAGGTCTTCATGGAGGATGCGCCGGAAGAGGCCACATGTGGATATCTGGTGCTGAGGATACTGGCCTCATAGTTGTGCCAAAGTGTTTATTTAGTGTGGTGCTACCCACCTCGCAAGATTCACTATTGTTAACATGTGTTGATTGGAATCTTTTTGGCGCAGTGCTTCAACAGCCTGTGCCTGTGAGTTGCAAGTTGAGGCTTCTGGAGTGACTCTCGTGCAGCAAGCGTCCATCACTGCTGTCTATGCCAGTGCAGACAACACGCTGGCCACCCAGACATCTCCCAGTTACATTTGCTCTAAGTCTGGTCGGCTACTGGTTTTTTCTGCTGTCCATGACGAAGGTTTTTCCCGTGTGTGGGAGCCGGGTTTCCCTTTGCATTTGCAGTCCTATGTGCCTTTGATGGACATGTCCCATGCCAGCTCAGCTTTGTCCTCCCGCTTCCCAGTCATGATCTGCTAAGGTTGCTCTTCACTGGGGATGCGAATGGGCCACTTGTTTTGAATTCTGCAGCATGCGTGTGCACAAGCCGAAATATGGGAGTCAGGTGGGTTCGAATATGGGACCTCTCAAAGATCCGCGTGGATTCGTGTCCATCGTACCTCCTCCGAGTGAAGGCCATGGCTGCATCCGCCGGTAGTATAAGCTATAAGCTTCATGGAAGATTTTGTCCTGTGCTCGTTTGAAGGCTTGAGGTGCAGTGGGCTTGACTATAATCAGCTGACGGTCGTTCTTCATCTTGGGCGGCGTATGTTTCGACAGTAGAGAAGAACGCAACACCTGGGCAAGGAGATGCAACTTCACAAGATGGCCATAGTTTCGCCGGCATCTCAGGTCGTGCTTAGCAAGCATGCAAATTTCCTCTCTTGCATGTTCCAGTTTTTTGTAATGGATTCACGCCGTCAAATCAGAGGTTGCAGCACTTCACCATGGACGGCTTGGTCGTATTAGCCCAAGACGCCTTTAGATTGCGGTGATCCGGCCAGATGCAAGCTTGATGCGACATATTCTTTTGAAATGCCTTGGGGAGTATTCCTTGCATTTTGGGGTCTCCCCTTCTACGCGCTCGTGAGACCTTTGACATTTGCTAGCCACTTCATGCTGAGTACGTCTGATCGCAGACGAGGTGATTGTCACGGCCTCTGCAGACTGGACCGTCGCATTGCTGGAATCTCAGTTGAGATGGCCTGAAAGCCTCGAGTACACAATGTACATGACTTGTGAAGGAATCTACAAGGTTGACATTGAACCGCTCTCTGTTGATTGGTGCGCATGGACCACGCAGCTTTGCAGAAGCTAAGAAAGCGCACTCTGAGGCACACCATGGATGGAATGCGCATTGGCAACTTCAGCCACCGCAGCCAAGAGTGGAGGCTGCCGACATCTTTTGAGATTGCAAGCGCAGAATTCCATGCCTGCTTTGCAGGATCTCCGACACCAGCACCTGGTGTGACCAGCTAGAGACCCGGATAGAATTTTGCAGCAGGAAGTCCTACAACCAAAACGCCAACGTTCCGGGGCTTGCTGATCTAATATCAAGTGTCGGATGTGTCGGGACGTTCAGAGCCTGACCCGGACGTTCAGCTGCTGAGGCCTCCTTCGGCCAAGGAAGGCATCCGCGGGCCTGAGGAGGATGACGACCGCTGGAGCAGCCACAGCCTGAACCGGACACGAGATAGGCTTGGTGTACTTAGACCGGGTTTTTCCTTTCTTGGGGGTGCTGAAGAAGAGGATCCCAATGATTGCCAATAATTTCTTTCCTTCTGGGAGCACATCTACCCAGATGTACTGCGCAGAGAAAAGGCGCGCCCGCAGGTGTTGGAAGTAGAAGTTGCATCCTGGTGTTCCCACTACGCAGGACTACCAAATCTTTACGCAGGGTGCCTCTGCTTTTCTCAAGCACCCTAAAACCTGTCCATAGACCCTCGCATCGTCCCCACAATACCGAGTGCTCAATCCGTAAATTGAGATGGGTTCTTTAAAAATTCTTAAATAAAGGATTATGTTACATTACATTCTATAAAAGGTAGTTTCCGAAAATTTGGGCCTCCAATATGGACCCCAAAATGCTATAGGATCTACCCCCAAAATGCTACCTCTCATTTTGGGAAGCCCTAAAACCTGAATAGTAGTCTCTGTTTTCTTTTCCGTTATCCATATAAAGCCCCTATATACCCATATTGTGGGCTCCTTAGAAGTTTCCCGATGCCCCCTACATAATCTCAGTCTTCATCTCATTTTCCATTTTCCTTTCCATCGGATGTTCTGTGATTGGAGGGTAGTATTGGGGGCTCTTAAGAAAAACAACCCCAATAAAATCCTTATATACTATAGTAGTTTCCATTTTCTTTCCATTAGCCCTATATGAAAATAAGGGGACCCCTAATCTATCTTCCCATGAAGCAAGGCATGAGCCCACGCCGCGCTGGCATGGCTGGGGCTGCAGGCACCTTTTGGAAATTGTCAGCAAGTGTTTAGAATTTTGGGGTTCAGAGTTTATCGTTTAGGGTTAAGGGTTTAGGGTTTAGGGAAATGAGGTATTTGTGGCTCCCGACAAAAAGGATCATGATATGTTGGGGCACATTTGGGGTCCCTGTTTTTGAAATCCCCCACCTCAGTGCTGTTAGGGTGTTGAGAGAGCTGGTTGGGGAGGGATGGTAGAAGATTTATGCTTCCAGGATCACAGTGGATACTTTGACATGAGACATCTTTTTGGATTGCGGCGGTGGCGCGGTCGTACGAAAATCCGCCACACCGAGCAACCAAGCAAAGTCGAGCGCCCGAGCGAGGCCGAGCAACCCAGCCCAGCCAGGCGAAGCCGAGCAATTGAGCGAAGTCGAGTGGAGCCAAGCAACCGAGCGGAGTCAAGCGCCCAAGCGAAGCCAAGTGTACCAGCGAAGCCGAGGGAAGCCGGGCGAAGCCGGGCGAAGCCGAGCAAAGCCGAGGGAAGCCGGGCGAAGCCGGGCGAAGCCGAGCAAAGCCGAGGGAAGCTGGACGAAGTCATGCGAAGCCGCACGAAGCCGAGCGGCCGAAGATTCCAGCAAAGTGGAATATAATATTTGGCGTTGACCGGCGTCGCTCGGTGCCTGATGTTTTCCCATTGGCGCTGCGCGCATTACAATGGCCAGCGTCGTTCGGCATTTGGCGTCGCTTGGCATCTGGTTTCGCACGGTGTGGCGGGGCGCTTGGTGTCGCCCAGCGTCCCTGGGCGTGGTTCGATTCTAGGCATCGCTCAGGTGTGATGGGAGAATCCCCCCCCCGGTTCTGGGCCCACCAATCTCAAAACAACGGTTTGGGAAATTGGGGGGTCGAAACAAAAGCTCTAAAGCCTCAGCTCTCTTGGATTTACGAGAATACGGGGGCTTGAATCTAGACTGGGCTGGTTTGGCTAAGAAAAAACAACAAACGCAGAATTCAAGAATGCCGTTAAGTTAGATAGAAGAACGGCGAGAATTAGGAAACAACCTGCGGGGGAACCTCACCCCTTCATATGATTTGGAGGGGGAGTTCGAGGTATAGCCTTTAGAGGCTGAATTTTGGTGATACCCGCAATTCAATTTGCTGTGGACAAGCGTTCTGATCATCATGATCATCGAATCTGCCATGATCGGGGCTCTTTTAATTAGTAGAAACCGGAGTAAGCAGCAAAAGTATTCCCTCTGGTCCTTTGTTGAGAACGACGGTCTGATTGTAGTGTCATGTTCTCTAGGCCCAACATTACTCCGAGCATTGGGCTGCAAAGGTGGCCGACGAGAAGGAGGTGCTGCCACGAGCGGCAGCGTACCAGGTAGCGAAAATCCGATGTGTAGCAAAATTTGGTGGTCAAGGGTATCCTCAGCTTCCAAGAAGGTTGTTCAAAAGGTGGTTCAAGGGTTCTAAGATCGTTGAAGCGTTTGGTTGATTGCGACTAAGCCGGCGCTGCAGTGCATAAACGATCCCTGGTTGCGCGTGAGGCATTGGCATCGGTGTGGGCATGCGGACTCCGAGAGGATCCAAGGCGTGTCCAAGTGTGACTGAGTAGTCTCGCATGGGCATGACCTACTAGTGTTGGGCTTGGATTGAAAACAGGTGAGATGCGTCATTGTGGGATTCCGAGTCGAGGTTTTGAGAGCATTTAAAGCTTCGGATGGGTCAAACGCATTCTATGTTGCCTCTTTCCCCTTGGCCATCAAGAGCCATTGAGGTAGCCTCAGAAAGCAAGATAAGTCAGGAGATACTTGAGTCTACTGTCTTTGAAACTACTTCCTTCAAGAGTTTACGTGCAGAGGTTCGTGAAATGACCTTGCCTGATACCCCAGGTGCGGACGCGGCCAGTCATTGCCCCGCCCGTTCATTCCGGACAGGGTGATTTCGGCAAATTGAGTGTCGCCACTGGCTGAGACATGTATGGAGCACCCGTAAGCCGGAGGCCTCAGCCAACTCCACGACCCATGAACTCTTTTGTAGGTTGAGCGTTTCAAGCCTGACTTGACGCTGGCGGAGCAGGCAGGGACATTTCAATTACGCTGCAAGCACAGGTTAAACAGAGGTGCACCATATTTAGCTTGGGGCTCAGATTTTGCCTTACACCCCTGTCTCGTGGACAGGAACGGCAACGGCTGCTGAAGTTCCACGCCTGGGTCCCGGATTCACTGCACACTGCAATGGCAACTGTGCCTCTGAAGATTATTGCGCAAGATCGCAACCACACAGAGTTTTGTGCATGCTCCTCCAGTCCTCCAGCGTGAGGAGGCAAGGAGTGCTGCCTTGCGACATGGGGGTTGAGAGATGAGGTTTCGGATCATCAGTCGCAGCCTCGACTGGGGGGCAAGCTGTGGGCCAGGCCACGCCACCACAGCTTCCAAACTCTTTTGCAAGCTTGGGCGTGTAACTTAAGCAGTGTTGGCTGACGTGTGAGGATGTGTGAGGTACAGGGCGTGAATGGCATCTCATACAAACCGTAATGGGTCATGGAGTGAACTATCATCACCGCGTCTCCATGTGCCACACTGAAAGAATGTGCCAGGAAGTGATGACCGCTAGGCGGCTCAGAGTTAATGACGGCGGTTGCAGGCCACATGTTCAGCCTGAATCGAGGCTGCATGGAACTTGCAGGTGCCCCATCTAGATAGCCCATGTCCTGCCATGTCCCCTTTGCAGCGAGGCCTTATGTGCTTGCTGGAAGAAAGCAATCTTGATCCACATTATCCTACAGGTGATCTGGAAGAAGGACAGGGATTCCAGCCCGGTGGGGACATGTTAGGGCCATGGTGTTGGCAGAAAGGTTGCCTTGTACATGACATTGGACGACGGTCAAGTGCAAAGAGCCGATACTGAACAAGAATGGCAGCGGGCTTGTTCACAAGGGCGTGCAGGCTGTGACGGGTGCTGCAGCAGGTGCTTATTTGCAGTGCATGTATGAAGGCGAAACATCAGCTCTTTGACAGTGTAGCATTGGGTGTTAGCACCAGAGTGCCAAATGTGCGCTCTGTGCAAGCACGATGGCGGAAAACAGTGGCTGCGCTTAGGAGTTAGATTTCCAAAGAGCTCCTTCAAGGTTCGAAGAAAGGGTCTGAGACGACATGATAAAGCACAATCAAAACTAATTTACCCATGTTCCGATGTGTGCCACTATGGTTCAGGGACGGCACATTTTTCATGGCAGCCGTGTGACAAGGTGGCACTCCAGAATGGATGCCACTTCGGAAGCGCAGTCTGTGCCCAGCCTGCATATTAAATCCCAGTTTGCAAGTTTTTTGAACACACTGCTCATCCCAGGGTGCATAACTACATCAGCATGCGATGCCTGAGATAACAATAATTCTTTTTTACAGGCTGCAGCATGAAATTTGCGGTTCTTTTCATGTTCTTTGGGGTTAAAAGAAGGGGGTCCAAATTTTGAGCAGAATCCATCACAAGCCCATGAATCCCGCACTCAGGCCATCTCGGAGTCATGGAGGTTGGATTTTCCAATGTGGCTGATTAGCGGATACGAGATCCTCCAGCTGGCGGCTCCGCTGCCGTCCCATGAGATCCTGAAGAAGCAGGGCAAGCTACCCTGCTCAGATCTGGCTTAAAGCATGCTCTTGAAGAGGAACCCCGGAATCCTTCAAAACCCTGGTATATCTCAAAGGTCCCTACAGTCCTACAGTAATTCCTACAGTAAGACAACCATCAATTGCAGAGGCTCCTATCTCAAAGCCTCGTGTACAACGACAAGTTCGCATGAATAACTCCACATAGAACGCTGAGGTTGTGCTCTTGGAGGCCAGGACATTCCAGAAGAGTAGTCTTGATCTCGCATCAGTGGGCAGGGCTCCGCCATCCAGATCCTGCCTTCAAGCAATTCACAGTGCTTCAGCAGGCGCTGCGGAACCTTGCCGCTGGCAAGGTCAAGATGCAGATGGACACGATCTCCGCCATAAATGGGATTGAGCTTGAGATGCTCAGCCCGGAAGAGCAGGTGAATTGCTCTGAGTGGGACTTCTGGTACGATTATTTTGCCTGCCCGCAGATAACGGGGACCTCACATCATCCTTGCGAGTATTCACCGGAGGTGACTCGATTGGTGCAGTCTATACCTGCATACTGCACCATTGCAAGCTTCATGCTGGTCCTCGCACCCTCTATACAACACTCTGACACTGGGGAAGTCATCAGTCAACGTACTTGGCATAAGCGAGGCGAGCAGGGCAAACACCTCATATACGGGGCATCAAGTTGGGGTTGACGTCTAAGCTGGTATAGTCAGACATGACACTCCAGTTAACAGCTTGCTGAGGGGTTGTGCAGGTTGGTGCAGACTGGAGCGCGCAGCTACAGCGTTCTCAGGGAACAGCAAGAGCATCTTGATTGTGTCCAGTGAGACGAGACTCCTAGTAACTGCCAGCCCAGACTGGGTCAAAGGATGTCCGGCTGAAGGTGACTTCACCCAAGAGACTGATCGGGAGCTGGTTCGAGCTGTAACTTGTCGCCTCATGGAGATTCGATGCGCAAATTTCCAGAGGCGCGGGGAGCAGGAAAAGTGGCGATTCTACAGAGCACTGATGCCGAAGGCGCAGGGGACGCAGGGCTGTCAATTCGGCGAAGAGGTAGGCGAGTTTCTGCATCGCTATGAGCTCCAGACACCAGCATGCTGCTTCAAGCCTGTCCTCACGCCACTGATCCTCGCGGCCCTTGAGGGCAACTTGGATGTCTTGCGCGGACTGCTAGACAGGAGTGCCAACGTCAACCAAGTGGTGCGCTGGCAACTTCCAGAGATGCACATTGATGGCTACCACACGGCGTTGTCCTTGGCGGCAATGCTGTCAACGAAAGAAGTTGTTAAAACACTTCTCGACTGGCAAGCGTCGCTGGATATCGTGAAAAATATGAACAATCCTTCCGTGCTGTCAATCGCGGGCTACTTTGGGAACGACAGAGTAATGAAACTGCTCCTAGACCGTGGGGCCAGCATCCGCACCTGTGATGAGGAAGGCAGCGGCCCCTTACATGTGGGCGCATTCTCCCCTAACCCTCGGGTCACTCAACTCTTGCTGGAAAACGGTGCCGACCCCAATTCGTGACTCTGCGAATTCTGGAGCCCGTTTGATGTTTTCTGGCTTTTGCCGCCAATGCAGTTTGAAGCGAAACACCTTTCCCATGCTTGAACCTGAATCACATCAAGGATGATTAATGCTATGCTACATCCGCAATAAATGAATCCATGAGGGCTGGACATGCCATGGCATTTACCCTGCATTCTAGTCCAGACTGTGCTCCACAGCGTTGGGATGTTGGAACCCAGACAAGTACCAATCTGACCTGGCCTACAGAGGGATATTCCCTTTTTCTTCAAGTGTTCCTTGTTCTTGTTACTGTGTTAGAACTACTGCGTCAAGGGTACAGATACCGACAGATGCGGTAAGGTATTCACTATTGCTGTTGATTTATTGTTTGTCTTTGCTTTTGCTGCCATGCTTTTTCTGTATGCGCATAGTGGTTCTTTGTACAGCGATCCCCCCGAGGCTTTGTCATGTGGGGGCCACGGCGTTGGCCATGACCAGCCTCTTGGTCGAGAAGGAAGGGTCTGCAAAGGTCTTGGGTGCATGAGGAGGCAGCCAACTGCGAAGAGGAGCAGCACACAGGAGAAGAGGATACGAATTATAATTATGAGGAAAGGAGCAGCATAACGTCATATGAGCGAGAGGAAAATCAATGAGCGTTTCTGAAACATTTGAAGACCGTGAATGAATGCCATAAATAGTTGTCACACCAAAAGAGTTTAAGGTGGCAGCAAAAGCTGCAGTAGCAGCAATTGCAGCAATAGAGGAGCTATGGCGACATATTGCTGTCAGCTTGAGATGCTGCCATGAGGCATCTGCAATGCTGACCCCGGCCACGCTGCTCTCATGCTGGAGGCTAGCGGCAAAGACACAACTAACATTGTAATATTGGGATAATGGAAAAGATTAGTGCCGGCGACGCGAAGACCCCAAACAGCGTGGGTGGAAAACACGGTTCAGCGCTTCTCCGATTTGAATGGGAAGAACACACATAGCAATAGTTCAATGATTACGATAAAGATTTACATACACATACAAGAATATATAAGAATATCGGCGGCTGGATTTTGTGCTTATCTGAGCTTCCATTTGGCAAGCTTGAACATTCTGGAATGATAGTCTGATTCTTGCATCGCTGGATTTTAATTTGAAGTCTTCGGGCAAAGAATATCAGCATTGCAACGAATTATTGCAGCTCAAGGTGCTTTGAGTCTCAAAGGTTGGGGGTTGAGTTTTGAAGGGTCAAGGTGCAGGGCTCAGGGTCCTGTGCTTTAACCTGGCAGGTTTTTGGGTCTAGGGGGAAGGGTTGAAGGATAAGGATGGAAGCCCGGCCTTGAGCTGGCAAGTTTAAACTGTCGGGCGTAAGGTTGATGAGAGTTTTGGGTTTAGGATTGAAGAAGGAAGTATAGCCGTTTTATCGCAAAAAGCAAAAGCTGATGTTTGGACTGGCTGACCCTGTTCGTATTTGTATGGTTCCTGCATGTCAAACGAACAACTTAAGATTTAGCATGGCATTTACGACCATCCAAGTATCGCCACCATCAATGAAACAATTCGTTCATGATAATCGTCCACTTCTGCGTCGTTTTCATCATCATCATGATCATCATCATCATATCTGGCAAGCAGTGTTACACTACTGCCCTACTCCAATCAAGCGCGGTGGGCTGGAACTCAATTAACGGCAATAATGCCACTGCTCCAACCGGCCTTCAGCTCGTGGGATTCAGAAAGCCTTATGCAAATTTAAAGAGTTCGGATTTCGAGGTTAGCTGCCTTTACCCACGCAAAAAGACCCGATTTCCTGCTTATCCACATTCAGATGATTAAAGAGGAAATCTCATGAACATCTCATGATCATATATGGTTGTGAGCTCTGCGTTTTGCGCCCCCTTGCCTTTCTTGATATGGTCCCCTGACCCCCATCCCGGGCCTCTCAGAAGTGTGAACAGTCACAATGATGGTGGGTGTCCAGCTCACCATTTTCGTCACCGTCCAAGCTATACAGACTCCGGAGGTTTCGAGCAGCACCACGGGAAACCCCCATTTGATGCCATCCCATTTGCATATCTTTTTAGCGATTATGAATCCCCATGTATCCCATGAATCAATACAACATCTTTTTGATGAATCCCCGTGTAAAATCCGAATTTTCAAACTATACGAACTCAACCAAAAGCATATCCCGTCAGAAATCTGGATGTCGGGCGGGCTCACTGCAGCCCGCAGCTCCCAATCTCATCCAAACGCGGATCCATTGGGCTCATAGCTCCGAGCCGCGCGGCAGAGTCAAAAACAGAATTCATAACAAACATGCTTTTCCGCTTCTGTAACCGCTGGCATAGCAGGCTGGAAATCCTGGAAACAACAGCCGAAACATCCGAAACATCATTCTTACCTCTGAACCGCTTGCTCTATAAGCTTGCGTTCGGCCTCCGCAAGCCCACCGCGGTCTCACCGTGGGCCCATGGCTCCGGGCCTCGCGCTGCCCATCTAGCCGCCGCTTTCTGTTTTTCTTCTTCGCAGGACAAACGTGGGCGCACCGTGGGCCCACAGCTCCGCGTGTCGCCCATCAAGCCGCCTCTTTTTATTTTGATCTGCGGGCCCACCACGGGCCCACCGGTCTTCGCCCCGTGCAGCCCATCCAGCCGCGGCGTTCTTTTTTTCTTCTGAGGAAAAGACCCCAAACACTTCCTGTCTGGGGAAAAATGAAAACGACTATTTAGGGTTATATGGGGGGTAGTATTGGGATAATGGAAAACAAAATGGAAACCATTATTTAGATCTGTTTAGGGTTAAGGTTATTCGAAGCTGTTAGTAATTTGACCTGCGCAGGAGTTGGGCGGGTTTGGTTCTGGTTTACCCTGCCTGTCCAGAATTTTGACCAGAGTATCTCAGCATTGGAAAAAGTCAAGACTGGCAGAATTTCGCTGTGGATTATGAGGCCAAAGCAGATCCCAATCTGGGTGGACCCCCAGCTGGATGCCGCTTGGCAAAGTGTATCCTTCAAGCAAGATTTGAGCGTGCAGTAAAGGCGGCTCTGAGAATTCTGCTCACGTGGCACTAGTAAGTGTAGACCCATCAGCAGAAAGCCCATTCCAGGAGAGGGAAAACTGCATGGATGTGTGACTGGAGCCCGGGCCAGTCCGGAATCAATCAAAACTTAATTCGGCTTTGTACTGGAATCTAGCCTTTATCTCAGAGAGAGATTGGTCCCGAAATCAGGTCTGCACACTGCCTTGAGCTGGCTGAGCAAACAGAGAATCCTCACGGGCAGCGCGTCTGAGTTGGAGTGGAATCTTGCGGTTGCGACACTTTGAAAGCACATAATTAGTGGCTGTTAGCTCAATCAAATCCGCCTCATCAATTTCCCTTCCTTTTGAAACGTAGCGACATGCATGTTGGAGTGCTGCCAGTCGAGCGCATCGGATGCAAACTCAGTAGGGTTGGAACTTTTAGCTTTCCGCATTGACACAAGAAACCTTGCGTGTGTATGCAACAACTATATGATGACTCCATCCCAGGAATTGTGGAACGCCTCTGCACTTGGCGGCAATAAATGGAAGTGCCCAGACTGCGGACAGATATGAATTTTGCTGTCCTGTGGGCTGTAAGGTTGTTCAAAGAACAGCCAGTAACAGGTCAGAACGTGCCAGGGCTTGTTTAGATATTGCAAGATTGGCCCAAATAAGCATTCTTTGCACTTGAAGCTTTGCATTTAGGCAGGTATCATGTGCTGGGAGACAGAGCCGTGTTAGGCTTGGAGATTGCGCGTCTGCTCCTTCAGCATGGGGCGAACCAAAATGCTACGTGGGGAGACGAGCAGTGCCTGGATTGCATTGCAAAAAGCTTCCAACAACAGGGCCCTCCAGAGCAGTCCCTGAAGATAGGGTTATCTGAGGGAAACACACAAGAAACTGCGATACGGGCAACGAGTGTATACTTGCTGACAACCAGGCTATCTGCGCGCTGTGACCGAAAGGTTCTTGTAAAACACGCTGACATGCAGCATGCCAAAAACATCGGCCCGTACATGATTTGACACGGTTATCCATGAAGACTAGTTTGGCGGATCAGCAAATCTGCGGCTTCTGGATGCGAGTTCTTTGCAGCTCTTCCATCCAGCATGTTGAGCTCCAAATCGACAATGGAAGCAAAGGTATGCAAGTTGAATTATTATCGCTACCCTTCGTGATTACAGTATTATGCTATGTCGGGTTGCTATTCAATACATGTCTCGATACCTCCTATAATTTTGGCATTTCCCATGCTGCATGCTTGGGCCTTGTATTTCCAAGCACTAGGCGTATGTGAATCTGCCAGGTTCTGCTGAGTGAGATCAGGACACCTTGAAACTGGCATGGCAGTTGCCTGCATTTGCGCTCAGCGCTGAACGTATTCTCGCAGAACCATGGCGTTGATGAAATGGTGAATTGACTGGCTGAATGGCAGACTACTTGTTTGACCAAATGAACGAACAAATGAATACATGAGTGAATGAATTGTTAAGGCACCAAAGAGAGTCATGCCCCAGTACCCAAGAGTGGATGTGACGGCAGCGATCAGAAATTCAGCACGGGAACCCATAGTGTCATCTCACTGTTCAGAACTCGTAGTTACAATCTCTGCTCTATCGGGACCAGGCTCACTCCGAAAGAACTAGCTCGCCGCAGAGGCCACCAGGAGCTGGGCATGTCTGCGTGCCAAAGGGTATTCGTAGATATCACCCACACATATGGCTCCACTGACTCTACTCAGACAAAAGTATTCAGATTGTTGTTCCGAGAGGGGAGGTTTGTATAATTTCAAGCATCAAGATGCGCATATTTTTGGCTTGTAGCACTGTGCCGTGCTCTGACGATGGCTGCAGATACTGAAAGCGACAGTTGCTGCTGCACAGGAGGTTCCTGCAAGGTAACTCGCCTGACTAGCCAAATGCCACGCAAGAGTCCTCAATTTGCGCTGAAGACTGAAGGGACCTGCGATGGTGTGGACACGGTGTGGTGTCTCCCTAAAGTTGATGTTTTTTTTCCAGAATGCATCAATCACAAATCGGTCTTGCGCAGGACGTTGTCGTGCTGCTTGAGTGCGTAAGTCTGGAAGAGGCTGACGACGTGTTTTCCATCTGAATCTGAATATGCTGAGTGGGAAGCATTGCTCAGTTTAGGTTAACTTTGTGCCATCGCTGAGCGAGTGGCATTTCACAGAGCTGCTGCACAGTAGCACGCAGAGAGTATGGCTTTTCAATGTCCCGATGTACATCAGGCCAAGGACTTGTGCACTATTTTGTTGCTGTTGTTCTTATGGTTAAAAATGTTACTGTTACTAGTACTACCATTTTTTATTATCATTACTATTACTGTTACTAGTTTACTGGTGCTATTGCTATTACAATTACACAGGGCTATTATTACTAGTACTACTACTGCTACTACTACTGCTACTACTACTGCTACTACTACTGCTACTATTATTGCTACTATTATTATTATTTTTACTATTACTGTTGCCATTACTATTACTGTTACTATTACTTTTACTATTACTGCTATCATTACGATGATTTCAGGGATAGCCCTGCCATGTCCATGGTGTGAGCTTGGAGGATTTGTAGGACAGGCAGGAGGGGGGTTGAGCTGGAGAAGGGTCGTTTGGACCCACACTTCCCAAAAACCCGCAGCACGCTTCTCAATGAGACCATGACCTTGGGCGTACTGTCCAGGTTCAGCAGCTCAGGAGCTGAGCCAGGTCAGATGCACATTGGGATCTTGACATGCTTGGTGTCAAGCGCGTCTCTTTTTCTTATGTGTTTCAAAAAGTATGGGTCAACTTCTAGCCTACATGGCTGGTGTGATGTCCGACCCGCAGTTCAAGGTGGACCATGAGTGTGGTCCTTGCCAGACCATGTGCGACGATGGACCATGATGCTTACGAAAAACAATATCTGCGCAGTTGAGGGCTTCTTAACTCGTCTGGATGAATCTGGAATTCTGCATAGAAACTGGGCGGCTTCACACTTAAAGTCTTAACAGTTCAGATGTTCCATGGATCGTTCCAGCTCCAGCCAGAGCTCGGCATTCGGGTAGAAATGCTTGCTCTGTATTGTTAGGCAGCCTGCAGGATCAGCCACACTGACGCAGCCAAGTAGGTCTCAAGGCAGGTGCGGGCATGCGTCATGGCTACGCTGGGCCTCAATCCTTCTGAGTGCCCTTCAGAGGCACGCTGCTTTCGGTCGTGCTGCTTTCCGTTCTGTGGGCTGTAGTAGAGCCTGTGGCTTCATTGAATTCCAGACAGAAGCCGTGACAGTCGAGGAGCCTCTCAGCAATGATAGACCAAAATCCAGCATGTATGGAAGCCAGCTAAGCAATTGATTTCTTGAGGTTCCACTGCATGTGTGCTCAAAAGCTGGAACCCCATCAGAAGCTTGAAGCCGCGTGATTGCAGGTTGGACCGCGCGGTGCATCAGCTTGTCTTTCGCAGGGTTGGGGGGACAAAGAGTGTCTTGATTCAGCATCAGGAGGTACGTTCACATAGCCGTGGAACGCGTGGATGAGATTCATGTTACTGTACGGTACACGTCGCACTACTTCGGACAAAAGCAACTTCCGAGAGTTTGGATGTCGAAGGATAGGCCGGCAAATTTAGTTGCGTCGGCTAACATGACCTAACTCCGCCAAGCTCAACCCGTTGGCCAGATGATGCTGCAAAGTACCATGATCGTCCACACCAAGGCGCCCTGGCTTCACCAGCGGCTCATGTTTCGGTGCAGCATGTGTTATGGCGATTGCTAGCAGGGGTTGTTGGTCTTGCATTGTGCGGCAATTTTGTAATATGTTTCATGGCATGAAGAAAGTTTCTCCTTGCACCACCGGCACAGACATGTGAAACTTATGCAGGCATGGAGTTTGATTCCCGAGACCGTGCATGGGTCGCAGCCCTGGCCTGCGATGTTAACATAATAATTATCAATATTACTGCTATTACTACAAATGTTACTACTATTACCATCATCATTATTATTGTTATTTTGATATTATTGTCATTCTTATCATTACCATCATTACTATTCTTATCACTGTTATTGTTCTAAGTCATCTCTCAAAAGTCACAGACTTATTGTGCGGACTGGTTTCCCTGGTCTGGACGACAAGAATGCTAGATGCATCTAGACAATCGCGCAAAGGCTCAGCAAGGCGGCGGATATTGGCAGGACACACATTCATAGTTATGTGGGGGCTTATATTGGGATAATGGAAAATGGAATGGAAACTACGATTTAGGGGTTATAACTTAGGGATCTAATATAGGCTTATATAGATTTGAAGTCCGGATGCCAGATCCAAGCAAGAGTCTGTAAGCAATCAGGACCTAAGCAAGCCCGGCAGATCTTCAAAATGACAGGATCAATGGAGGCCAGACAATGGCGAGTATGGCTTTGCGGGGCAAGGCCAGGAGAAAGAGCTAAGACGCGGAGTTCAGCGGAACTCTGTTGGATGTAGACATCTCCGTCTATGATGCGCTGTTTACACACAACCCTTGTCCGAAACAGAGGCAGACTGACGTGGTGTGTGTTTGCTTGTGACGTTCCGGGAGCCCTGAGGCGGAAACATGGACTGGACAGACCGGGCACCCAGACGTTTTTGGTGTGAGAACGCTGACTGTGAGCCAGTTGGTAGAGGGTGCTTACATCCAAGAGGGTTTTTTGTGCAGACAGTCAGTACCCAGTGGTTGATCTCATGTTGCTCTGATGGATGTTGTCCGCCTCACGCTGTTCCAAGTCCGGATGGCAGATGCCGATGGCGGGCAGCCTCAGAACCTGCAGATGTTTGCAGGGGGATGGCCTGTAACAGCAATTCGTTTGCTGACAGGTCTGCTTTTGAGATGTTGCTTGCTTTCAAGGCAGCTGCAGCTGCAAATTTTTGAGTCCCAAGGCCATGAATGACGGGTGGCAAAACAGGCAGGACGATGCTACGGGTCATCTGTTGTGTGAGCATGACTCAGCAGCGGTGGGGGTGTATTGCCTCATGATGCAAACTGCAATGGTCACTGAAAAGCACGGTGGTCAAGGGGAGCAGGGGTGAGGAAGGGAAGGGGTCCTTGGGAAGAACAGGATCAAAGCAACTGGAGGCAGGCCAGAGATAGCAATGGCTGATGTCTCTCACGGCATTGTTGTCAACCGAATGATACTGGAAAGATGGCCATAGCAATTAGTATGAAGCTAGTCAGCGAAACGACGTGTGCAAGACGAGGTTGCATAGAATGCATGGCATCTTTATTCTTCCACGCTGGCTGCAATTACGGCCAGGAACCGGAACAGCAATACCACTAAGTCCAAGCGGCGCTTTTGCACCTCTTTTCCAGATGCCTGGGTCCCGGATTGTTGCTGTGCTGAAAGGTGCAAGCGCCACTTGCCGTTCTGGATGGCTGGCATTGCATCTTATCATAAAGGTCGTGAATATGCTTATCATGTCTATTCACTGGGTTTTCTTATTACTATTGTCACAACTACTTGTTACCTGGCCCAAGGTCAGCCAGTGCCGTCGCGGAGCGGGCTGTGCTTTTGCGCACTCTCGCGAGGTGGGAGATCCTCAGGGATGCGGACGATCATGGTGGGGTGGTGTTCAGGGTTTAGGGACTTGGGTTTCCAGAAAGAAGGGGGTTCTTTAGAGAGTATATCAAAGGGACCCTGATACAGAGAACTCGCGCATTTTGGTGCGTAAAAGGCAAGGTTTCGTATATTGGGGTTTCCCAAACTTCAGGGGTACCTTCTTGCATGGGTCCAATAGCAAGGATTACAATATATTGGGGTCTATATTGGGGTCCGCCTATTTAGGCCAACTACCAAAAGAGTCAGAGCGCAAAGCTGTGGGCTGCCTGCAGGAGATAGGAGTGCCGCTGCTGTCCATAGCCGAAGAGACTCAGGAGCTGGGTCCTTGTCTTACTGGGGATTAGTAGGGAATAAGGGGATGTATGAAGCATCAATGAGTTTTCTGGGAAGAGCTCACAACATCATTTCGCAAATACATGTTGATCTCATGCTGCAGCTGCTGCTACCGGTAGTGTTTTTGCTGCTGCTGCAGCGGCTTTTGCTGAAAATCATTCGCTTCAAGAAGTGAGATTGATGTGTGCTCCCTGTCAAAGAGCTCCCCTGATAATGCCTGCGAGAGTCAAATTCAAAAGGCACCGGGAGAGGTTTCATCAACAATAATCTTCTTTGGCAACAATATGTGTATATGTCAATAGGCATGCAGAACTGGGAAGTCCAAGACAACCAATCCATCCAGAACGCCAGACCTCCAAACAATTTTGCGCGGTTGGGGCCTGTCCCCGAAGGATATTATCATGTGGTACATATTGGGGTCATAGAAGGATATGTAGAGATCGTACCCGAGTAATGGAGAATCAAATGGAAAAGCAAATGGGCGAGACGACGGTGATGAGAGGGGACGTGCTGTCACTCTTGTTTCGGGTTTAGGGCTGTTGCTGGTTGCTGTGATCTCTGTGCTTGCATGTACTGCTATATTGCCCAGGCGAAAAGGAACATTTACACTCTAATCCTTGTTTCTCTGACATTTTCCATTTGGTTCTTCACTATTGGGTGTAATGTCCCTAAACCATGGAGCTAAAACCCCTCAATAGTGTGGTAGCTTCTATTTCATTGTCCATTTGATTCGCCATTATCCCTATCGTCTTACGCTTCTCCTACCATTCTCCTATAACACAGTTTCCATTTCATTTTTCATGTGCTTTTCCATTTGACTCTCCATATCATCGTATATACCCTACAATTTGTAGCAGTTTCCTTTTCTTCCATGAAATTTATCATCCCTGGAGCCTCATGGTCAGGAGCCCCATGCCTTGACGGACGACTTCTTCATGTACAAGTACAAGATGAGCTGGTGTCCAATTGGCGTGCAACATGAGTGGCACACATGCGTCTACGCACACAACTACCAGGACAGACTGTAAGGGATTTCATTTTTTCCTTTCCAAGGTGACGCCACCAGGATCTAAGGAGCTAATAGGGACTTTTTGGTAGTTCCCTAAATAGGGGTCCCCAATATAGACCCCCAAATACTATGATCCTCAGTATGGGGACCCCCAAAATGGTACCCCTAATTTTGGGAAACCCCTATATGGGGTCCCAAATCTGAGTTTAGGGTACTCTCTGGTGGAAGAGCATTGGAGCCCCTTAGGCTGGGATTCTTGGAAGCAGGTGCCAGCGCATCGTTGTTTATGGGGTTTCCCAAAATTAGGGAATTTTTTTGGTTGCCCATCATCAGGACTAGAGTAGAGTGGGTCTATATTAGGGTACTCATATTTTTGAGAAATACCATGTTTGTCTTGTTGTGATATGGGTCTGCTGCTTCTAGCAGCTCGCAGTCAGTTTTTTGCCTTTAGTTATTGCAGTTAACCAGTTCATTGCGAGTTCAACCTGCATCTCAAAGCAGCATGCGGGATGCACGACAAAAATGCCAGATGCCTGCGCATCAAGCCCTAAGACTGCGAGACCTGCTCGGTTGGTATTAAGCTCGGTTTTAGAGCACACATGTTCTGCTCGACGCGTGAGGACGCGCGACGTCCTGTGACCATTGGGTATGGAGCCAGGTCTCGTGCTTAGCCTTTGCATATGGTAGACCAATGCCATCAGGCCTCTAGGAGTAAAATGTACGCTAAGCTTCTTAAAGTCAATGATCCTGATGCTTGCAGAGGCTGTGCCCGTACTGGAGCAAGAAGGCCTTGGTTGCATGGGAGCTTGGATATCTTGCAACTAAGATTGCATGGAGGGAAAGTTCGGTTGATATTGCATAGTTTTCTTGTCGACAGATTCCCTTCCTTCCCTTACTTATGTGCCACCGCTACGACCGTTTTTCGTTCAGTCTTCTCCAGCACTGAAAGGACACCGGCGCGGAGTACTCGCAGAGATGCCCTCTCGGCCTCCGCTGTCCTTACTCCCATGGCGCCAAGGACCCTCATCGGCTTTGAAAGTCCCATGCCAGTCACAGCCTGCGAATGTGCGAACGATGGCTTTGCTCTCAGGAGCAACTCTACCACCCGCACTACTTTAAGACTGTGGTTTGCCGTGACCTGCGTGGCAAGGCTTGGTTGTGGTTGCCGGGACTGGCTGATGCTAGATGTTCAGAGCATTCTTGTGTAAGAGGGCGTGGGGTTGGTCTTGTGAAGCCTTTACAGAAGCAGGTGCCACTGGGTTCTGTGCTTCCATGCTACATGGGTTGTATCATGAGGGCCGTCAGTCGCACATCTATTGCAGGCCTGCCCTCGGCACAAGCTGTGTGCCTTCTACCACCATCGGAACGAGCGCAGCTTGCCTAAGCGCAAGGAATATCCAGTACGCAAAAGCTGAACATTGATCTTATCGCTTGAGTTTCTTCACAAAGGCAAGTCTCATGCGCCTTCCCCAAGAATGAAAGTACATATTGCTTCTCAAGGCAATCTGCGAAGGCATTGGTGGGCAGGTGTTGGTAATGTTGACCATAGAAGCCTTTGAATGATCACAGAAGCTATCATTTGCTTGGTTCCTTCGACTCGGAGCCTTAAGCTGAAGTCCATCCTCCATCCTCAGAGAGCCAATGAGGCCGCTCGACTCCGGTCGATGATGTCGATTATGCAAAGCCACTCTCCAAAGAGGTGCCGTTTGTGTGCAGCCTTTGCGGTTTGTCTCAGAGCTGTTGAGCAGAATCATTCCCATAAACACCTGCAGTCTCTTGTTCTAGAAGGCAGCCAAGCCAACTTGCAAACCCCACTGTTCCCAAGCGTCTTGACAGTTTCAGCTGAGTAGCCACAAAGGGATAGGTGCAAAAGGTTTGTTAAAAGGTTAGGCTGCTTGTGCTCGGCACTCAAATGTGCTTTCTTTGCTTGAAAGTTCATGCCAGGAATCATCCGTTTAGGGATTCGCGCAAGCAGTGTTGATGATACCTCGGAAGTTGCCCTCTATGCTGCTATCATGGAGCACCGCTGCAGGAAAGGTACCTTTAGTTTGTTTTGGTGCATCTCTAGTATACGATCTGGGCCAATGATTTGTTATTCTCATGCATCCATTTCAAAGCTAGTATGGTGCGAGCGGCAAGCTATAGTTTCCTGGCCCCTTTGAGGACAAGTCATTGGCAAGGGTCTCATATTTGAGATGCTTTCAAACATGCTGAAGGTCCTCTTCAATTTACGCTTTCAGCGGGTTTGCGCATGTTGTTTTTCATCATGACGCTTACACTCCGCAAGTCCCTCGCGCATGGGTTAGCAGCAATGATTATTTGCTGCACACTACGCAGACACGCGTCGAGTGTAGCCGTGGTGAGGCCATGCCGGAAGATTGGGTTACTGACTTTCTGTCCGGAGCTGATGCGTGGCTAGCGCCCACCACCAACATGCCAGCGTGCTGCCTGTTGGAGAAACATGGCCATGTGCTTGTCACGGTCACGGCCTTTGTGAGGTCCCCACCGTTCCATGCTGAGTCAGGGAAGCCCAAGATGGATGACGGCAAGGTCAGTGGGGCAAGCTTTTGATTGTTCAGGATGTCAGTCTTGCTAGAACGCATTGTTGAATGCATCCTTCCTGTTCTGCGAATCTGAACCTTGGCCATTCTTTGCACATGTCGTGTTCTGATAGGATCGCAACATGCGGGGGCCTCAGCGCCTCATTGTCTTGGACGGAAGGACGCAAGAGTCAAGAGGTCGAAATAGAATGACTGCATGTCCCTTTTTGCCTTGGCCAAACGCAGAAGACTCAGGATGCATAATTCCGGGCAGATGGAACAAAGCGGCCAGTACGGGCAGATGCTGTGAGCTGAGCTCCAGACTGATGACACCCCGATTCAGCCTCGTGTGGCAACAGATGTGACTCCAATATTGGAGGGGAGAGAGTTTTCATGCTTTCTGTGCATACCATTGATGCAGCTTCTCGACTTTTTCGTTGGCAGGCTCTCAAACTTTCATGCCTTGGATCCATTCATCAAGTGCTCAGACACTGATGCCGAGGCAATGCGGAATGCCATATTTTCCCGTGCCTTCGCTGCTCGGTGCTCAATTATGGACTTGCCGCACGTGTGACGTCGCTGTGTTTTGAGTCAGAGCCGCCAAGCTAGTGGAGCTGAGGCCCGGGCAAATGAAGAGCGGTGAGCATTCGGAGTTGCAGCCCAAGATGCCCTTTTGCTCTAGTCGGTAAGAGTCCGGCAAGCTCCACCAATGCAGGAATTCAGAACAGTTCTGAACAGTCCGCAAGAATCTGAAATGTGGCTCGATGACATTGCTGAGGTTCGGGAACTCGCCGATGCGTGGATCCCAATCCCGCGGCATGCCTGCTGCTCAAGGGCACTCATTGCCTTCAGGTTCAGTAGGCAAACCTGACCAGAAGGAGCGCACAGTCAGATGCATTTCAATGTGAGTTAGCCCTACAGTTTACCAATCCGTCTTGCCTTTGAGGTATTCAGACAACATGCTCCCGTGGGTACGAAGCTAAGCCCAGCTGAGAGTGCTTCTCCACACCTTTCGCTGCTTCTGGTGGCTTTTCATGTATCGATGCATCTCTACAGGCTTTTGCGGCGTCCGAGGGTACCAGTCGCCTGAATAATTGAGACACCTGACACGCCTGAGAATCAGGGGCAGGGCGCCCGCCATACCTGATCCAGGTGTGCACTTTTTAGTCCCATCAAGCGGACGTTTGCGCGAAGACCTTCGCACGTGGCCCTTGGAGTTTAGTAGTTCGTTCTCTAGCATCCACCTAGGGTTCTGAAGCCTACGTGTTACACAGTCCTGGCTATGCGGCGCTTCCAATAGTGGGAAGGTCGCTACTCGCGCCATGGGGGGCAGACTGCTGACACACTTTCACATGTAGCGCAGAAGGACCACCGCCCCAGCACTGTCGGAGCGTGGACCATCTGAGTCTCAGAACCATTGGCAGTGGCAGCTGATTCTGAAGCCCCGGAGCGAGTCAATCTCGGACGTCGTCTGAGCTGAGGATGTTTCTGTGCTTTCAGTTCCTTTGGTTGCTTCACTCATTGAATCAGAAGTTATATCTTCAGCAAACCTGATTCGAGCGTGAGCGCATGGAGGATCCAGTATCACTGCAGTTGCGAGGCTTCGTTTTCCATGTCTTTAGACCTTCGCCGTGCGTGTCACTCGGTACCCAAAGAGACACCGAAACTGCGAAGGTGCCCCCGCAAACTTGGCGGGCTGTTCACCCTGATGCCCCACATGTTTGAATTTTGAATGACAGTGCAGATGCTAACATGAGATGAAACTACAACACTTCTGGAGGCAGCATCTGAACATTGTAGTCGTAATCTTGTGGGCATCACAGCACCTTTAATGATCGCAGACTGAGAGAGTTTGTCTCAAAGGAGCTTGTCTTGGACCCCGGAGCTGGACTGAAGGATTCCCAACGGAGCTCATGATTCTGAAGGGTACTGGTCATGTAGGGGTTTAGGTTTTATGTAGGGATTACTTATAGGGCTACAGAGGCGTTGTGTAGGGTTTAGGCTTAGGGGATATTGTCCTAGGATGATTGGAGAATCATATGCAAAAGGGCACGTAAATTACACGGAAGCTGGATGTAACATCATGCATTTTATGATTTTGGCGCCGCAGCTGGTGCGGAAGGCAAAGGACCGTTTGTCCAATCAGTCCAACTCACGGGTCTGAGAATTTTCCCTTTGAAGGAGAGAGGACAAGAAAGAGTGAGAGAGAGTGAAAGAGATACCTTGACTTGCCACAGGGAACAATCGAACCTTTGAAGCATACGCTTAACAACCATAACCGTGTTGAATTTGCTACCCTGCGGCAGACGAGCAATGAAACCCAGAAGCCTCCTAGCCCTACTGCAAGTACAGAAATCGTTGGCCCCACTGGGTTTCATGATCATCCTGAGGGGTGCACGGCTTTTTTATGGCATGACATGCTGGACCTCTGAGCCATTCTGGGACGTTTGCTCTGGATTGGCTCAGACATCAAACCCTGTGGCAATTGTTTTGAGAAAAAGCCTTGCGCAATTCGAGTCTAGACGATGGAGCATGCCTCCGGCATGTAAGCATGGCCCATTGGCGTGCGCTACCCACTGACATGGACTCGCGCGTTATTGCATGCTGGTATTTGGGCTCAGGAGTGCTTGTGACCTTGCGGGCTTTGAAGTGTGCATCCAAGGCAAGAAACAGTTGCACTTGAGGGTGAGAGACATGGCGCAGCAAGGGCAAGGACTCTTTTTCCTAGCAACCAAAAGAGGTATGGTAAAATATATTACTGTACACTATGTACTAGTGTGAGTGTTTTAAAAGTTGAGCTGTGTAGCAATAATGGTTGCGGTGGGTACAAGCGCTTGCATGCAAAGCTGTCAATGCACAAGCACTCCCCCCGTTCTGCTGCGCAGCTGGATGAGATGCATTGACACTGATAGTCAGGACATGGTCCGAAATCCTGGATCTACGAGATCTGGGCCGCAGACACAATGTAT